AAACTCATGCAATTTAGGTGGAGTACTTCATGATAGTGGTGCAGTTTAAGGGACTTTAGTTGAAAAGGAGTTCATTAAAGCTGCCCTTATCATGGCCTTTCCTCACATCATTTTTTATGTAACAATGCAAGGAATATCTGAAATAAATGTGCCACATGTTGAGTTTCAACAAATGAGAAACATTACTGGATGACTATTCTTAATTTAATAGTGACTCATTGCACATATGTACAAAGAGGGTCTATTTTCTGTTGCTATATTTTAATCCTGCTACTGGTTGTTTTATTTATGTAACATTGAACAATTGCCCTTTATTTCCTTTATGATTTTTTAGCAACATATAGGTTCTTAGAGATATGGTGTGTCTGATGTTGTAATGTATTTTCACATAAAAAGTAAATTATTTAAATGTTGTCAGGTTTAGTACAACAGCTAATTTCTTTAGTTTAAACATAAAAGCAGTCTGTTTTCAAATACAGTATATTACCAAAAACATTTAAATTAATAAATCAGTAAGTACACTCTTTAACCCGATTATGTTATCTTATTTATAAAGTGTGTTGGGCTTTTTCTCCAAGTCAATGAAGCTAATAATTCAGCATATTTTCCAGTCCAGCTGTGTGTTGTGTGTGTGTGTTTGTGTGTGTGAAGGCCAGACGAGTCAACACATCGCGCGGCTCAGAGTCGCCTAATCCCGTGTAGAGCTGAAGATGTATAACTCGTAATCTGAGTAATCCTTTGTCCTAATACTGCCACTTTAACCAGATGAATGCATTAAAGGCTCCAGGGTTATCAGCTCTGTTGCTGCAGCGCATGGGAAGACCTCAGTTTGATATGTGGAGAAAAAAAGGAACTTATATTTACTTGCTTTGATTTTGAGTATAAAGGGGATTTTAATGTGATTACTTTAAACATTTAGAGAGCAGTCTATTTTAGAAAGTAGCTTAAGATTTAATTTGAATGTATAGGGAATTTTGCAATACAGTTTTTGACTGATTATTGGAAATTATGAAGGGAATGTTTTTTTGTAAAATGTAGCCATTTCTTTCTCGAAATGTGTGTATTTTCTGTTAATGTTACTTAAAAATGAATTACAGATTTTCCAGAATTAATGTTATATAACCATAAATAAAATATACCCAAAGAAAAGTATACAAATAAGTATATACTGTATATTTATCTGGTCATTTGTGTTTGTCCTACATTAAACCCCCTGCATTTTTCGTACCACAGTGGAAAGAGCACTAAAAAGTTAAAAATATAGTTAATCTTTTCTTGTAAATACTGGGTTATTTTCACTCACCAGACAAGAGCCCTGTGTGTATTTCCAGAGTCTAAGTCGGCCAGTCTGCTACCCCAGAATAACCCTGACAGGTTATTCATAACACCGCAGACCTCTCTGTTACTGGGGCAGCCACTATTATTTAGTTCAAATGACTAGGCATGGTTATTATTGGCACTTCTCCTATTAATAGGGAGAACTGCTAAAAATTGAGCAGTGTGTTTGTCCTGGGCGTGTCGCCGCCTCAGACCAGGGCTGAAGATAAACACGAGTTTGGCCTCGGCAGATGTCGGGCTGCAGCCATGTTAACTCTGTCATCTTTTCAGGGCTTTTAGATTCTGTCACATGCAGGTTGTTTATGTGTTTGGGAGCTCAGTGCGGGGATGTGAGGGGAGGCTGAAGTTAGCTGTGAACAGGCAGTAACAGGAGGAACAGTTGTCCAGCGAGGGTGTGCTGTGGTGTGGGAACAGCTGAGCCACTTGGCCCCCGCAGAGAGCCAATGCTACCAGACAGCTTGGCTGCTTAATTACCTCCGTGTGTGTTTTTTTATATGAATATCTGTGTGTGTTTGTGCAGAGATATGCTCGTGAGTTCCCTGAACTGTTTCTCTCTCAGCCTCACACTCTTTCTCCTGTCTGCGCGTTAGCTCCCGCAGCCCTCCGCTCCTCTCAGTGTGTTACCTGCAGCCCTCCTGTCACATTTCACCCCTGCCTGCCACATTCCTAGTTATCTCAGAGGGGGTTACATACCTTTGCCCTGAGAGGCAGCTAGTAGCAAGCGTCCTGCCTTTCTAGTTGTAGGACTGGCAGGCAGGCCATCAGTCAAAACAGCCGTACACGGATCATGCAGGGCGGGAAATTAGTACGTTTGTCTACTTTAGCAGCCTGTTTAGTTTGTTTACTTATTAAATTCCTTGAAAATTCCTAGAGATGCCCTGACACATCCTGTCCTGTTGTCATTGAAAACAATACAAAACCGTCACTTTTCTCTTTAAATATTTGTCCTTTTCCGGGAAAGTTAACACCTCTGCTTGGTTTGCCTGAAGCTTCACATTATATCTCGTAAAAATATAAAATGTAACACACTCGCTATAATACTCTGCTTTATTTGAACGGTTTTCTGCAATGTATAAACTCCATTGTTTCCAGGCTGCATATCTGGCTGTTGTGACCCATTGAACCGAACAGTGTTTTACCTTTTGATTAGGTTTTTTTTAAATAATTGTGAGAGGCCCAGAAATGGTTAGATATCTAGTAATGCAAAAATAAAGATTAAAGGACATTCTAAAATATAATCACAGTTTGGAAAAATAGGTTTTTTTCTGCTGCTTTCCTATCACTTTAATTATGTGTTTTTAGACAATTTAAGACTTAAAGTAATCTAATAGACAATAACCAATAAATAAAAGTTTCTAAAACATGTTTTAATGCCCAGCCAAATATAGCTACCCAGTCTGTTTATGTCCTTGCTTATCTTCAAACTAACTTCAGATAAGACTTTTGATAACATTGGAATTTAAATGTTCAGTTAGTTTACAAACTAACTTTAATATTTAAATTACATTAATGTTGATTCTTTTTTAAATGTTTTGTGTCTGTCAAATTTGTAGTCTCAGATATTCAAACTCATATGGCAAACGTTGGAGACCAATCCAATGTCTTTGTAGGAGCTTTCTGTTTAAACTGTTTGCAGTAGCCAATATTAGTTACTTAAATGCCTATATTACCTATTCAAAAGTTGACTTCTGAATTATTGTGAAAAAATTGCATTATTTGTGTTTGATCGATGCCGGTTTGTTAGAAACTCACAATAGTTGCTGCTTTAGCTTAAAGATAATCACCAAATTCCTCTCTGTGTAGCAGCGGTTCGCCCACTCCTCTTTCCACTGTCGGAGCGGAGAACTCCTGTTCTCCTTCTCATAATGTTTCCTCTGTACATCTGAAAATACTGTCAGGACAGCAGGAACCAAATACTGTCAGGACAGCAGGAACAATCTAAAACTGGCTTTTTTTTTGCCTATAAGTATTTTAACATCATCCAGCTCCTCACATCCTGCACATGATAGATGTTTGGTCCCAGACTTCTTCAGCCTGATTTACAGAAATGTTTTTGCTCCAATGACGGATGCTTTTGTAAAAGTTTCTGTCTCTTGGCCCCTTTTGATTCGTGACTTGTTGCTGCAGAGACCTCCAGCAGGTGACCCTCACACTCTCATAATGAACGGATCAGTCAGCTCCCACACCACAATAAGCAGCAGTTCATGTATGTAGGCCAGTTTAGCAGAACAATTAACACTCATTTGGGTAGGCGCTCCGCAAATCTAGTCTCACCGTAGGATTGATATCCCACACACACACACACACGGACACACACACTTCTCTTGTGCAAGTATTACTACAGCAGCTCCATTGAGAGGCTGTTCTGGTCTGACAGAGCAAACGGCTGCTGGTGACTCAGACTGGCTGCTTCTGATCTGCTGTGAATTAAAACAAACGCCCCCTGGTGGCCACTCAGGGACCCCTGTCCTCCATCTTTAGTGTGTGTGTGTGTGTGTGTGTGTGTGGGTGTGTGTGTGTGTGTGTGTGTGTGTGTGTGTGTGTGTGTGTGTGTGTGTGTGTGTGTGTGTGTGTGTGTGTGTGGTGTGTGTGTGTGTGTGTGTGTGTGTGTGTGGTGTGTGTGTGTGTGTGTGTGTGTGGTGTGTGTGTGTGTGTGTGTGTGTGTGTGTGTGTGTGTGATGCTGTGTGTGTGTGTGTGTGTGTGGTGTGTGTGTGTGTGTGTGTGTGTGTGTGTGTGTGTGTGTGTGTGGTGTGTGTGTGTGTGTGTGTGAATGTGTGTGTGTGTGTGTGTGTGGTGTGTGTGTGTGTGGTGTGTGTGTGTGTGGTGTGTGTGTGTGTGTGTGTGTGTGTGTGTGATGGGTTATTGAACATAGTACTATTTTAAATTTGGGCAAGGTTCAGAAAAAATATATTCTGTATTTAAGATATGAATACACACTCTTGCCAATTGCTGAGATGATCCTGCCTGTATTCCTATCAAACATTTCGAGCGAGTAATATATTACCTTTTTTATTACAATTTTTCAATTTTGTACACAATTTTTCTACATAGTAGATTGGTTAAAATGATTCATGTGATTTATGTTTCAGATTTGAATCGGTGTATGTGTTGTTGGGAATATGAAATTAATTACAGAAATTCTGGCTAATTGCTAAGCTGAATTTGACTGAATTCCTTGGGAAAAGTATTTTGCGATTATTTCATACTTTTCAATATATTTTATGACCATTTATTTCCTAGATGAATTGTGTACTTTATGGTATATATATTTGACTTATTGATTCATTTGTTGTATTTAATATTGGTCTTGGTGTTTCGAGTTCTTTCATAGAGATATGGTCAGATGTCGTTCTGCTCTGACCGGCCAACCTGAGAGTAGAATGTGATCTGGCATAACCTGGCCAGTATCTTAAACCGATTCTTGCATTAGTTAGATTTTTTTTAATCTTTTTTGATTTCAAAAATGGACATCATGGGTGCATCCATAACTGGTTAATGTACTGCAGGATTGCATCCGGCTCGTTGGAATGTTGAAATGTTTTACTGTGTTATTAATTATATATAATATTATTGCTTTATATTCTATTATTCTATTGTTATTATAAGCTTTCATTAAGGCCGCTAAGATCTAAACTGCTCTTTTTTTCCCTTCTTTTGACAGCTTCTTAGACCGGATCGAGGTGGTCAGGCAGAACGACTACACACCCACTGACCAGGTGAGCTGTTCACACACACACACACACACACACTTCTTCCTCTTACACCCCTGTTTATGACATCTCTACATCCCTCTGTCTGTATCCCTTTCTCTTTCTATATGTTCTAATTAACACCTTCCTGTTTCATCTCTTTTTTTATTTCAGGACCTGTTGAGATGCAGAGTGTTGACATCTGGGATCTTCGAGACACGATTTCAAATAGACAAAGTCAATTTCCAGTGAGTTTTCACAAAATTCATTTATTGCAGTTCAGAAGCGTGTCCACAGATTATAAAGAAGAACCATCTGCGTAAAAACATCAAAAGAGTGTATTAGAGGACAATACACATTGTATTTGTGTTAATAAATCTAATAAATGTATGTATTTTCCCCTAAAGAGTTTTATTTTCTCAAGACATTGTTGTCACGTGAATGTTATCCCTCAGTATTTAATGTAAATCCTTTACTCACAGTATGTTCGATGTTGGAGGTCAGAGGGATGAACGTCGAAAATGGATCCAGTGTTTTAACGGTAAGATTTTCCTAGCTTTGACTGCTTTATAGTAGTGATAACACTTTTTAATAACACTTTTTTTTTTTGTATTCTAAAGATAAACAACAGTGTTCGGAAGTTTTATTCGCCGTTGGTGTTTTAATCTTTGTGTTTTGGTGTGTGTGGCGCAGATGTGACAGCCATCATCTTTGTGGTGGCGAGTAGCAGCTACAACATGGTGATCAGAGAAGACAATCAGACCAACAGACTACAGGAAGCCCTCAACCTCTTCAAAAACATCTGGAACAACAGGTGATGATCATAGAAACTAGTGTTGTGATGGAGACTGAGCTACAGCTAGTTTGGTTTTGATGCGCTGGCTGATGTTAGATTTTCATCGTGATATCCATATAAAGACAAGCTTGTTGCACACTGCCACAGTTAAAACATTTGAAATGAAAAGATTATCTTAAACCCTTGATGGAAATGCTTTTTATTGAGTACCATTGTATTAAACCTTTTGGTGTTAGGGGTGTAATTTGACCTGTGGCAGTGTGTTTTGGGCCATACTCTATGTATATCCTTTTTTAACCATTATTTCTTTATTCTAAATTTTTAGTAAAATGGTAAAGGAAAGATTGAATGCAGTTATGTCTTGAGAATGAAGCCGTACGACAATGAGGTTTCATTTTGAGGGGAAATGTCAGGTATCACACATGTGCTGTTTACAAACAGGGTGCATGTATGTACAGTGGGAGTAGACGCTGATATTTGTCTCTCCCTATGGGTGCACTTGATCTGTGTATGGCTGGAGCTTTAAGACCTTTTCAGCCCAGACCTCCAGAGAGTACATTTTTCTCTTGTTCTTCAGCCAGAGCCTATTAATACTCTATAATGCCCCTTAAAAAGTGGACATCCTCCAGTAACTCACCTGTAACTTATTGTGGGTTATTTAAAATAAAAAAAAAGGAATCTGGCACTGATCTTGTTCTTCAATTCCCTCCAAAGGTGGCTACGGACCATTTCGGTAATCCTCTTCCTGAACAAACAGGACCTGCTCGCTGAGAAGGTTTTGGCAGGGAAATCAAAAATTGAGGAGTATTTTCCGGAGTTCGCACGCTACACTACGCCTGATGATGGTAAGAGATTGACTCTGATATTTGTATGTGGCCAATGCATAACAAACATGGTTGTTACCAACTAGTTCAAATGGTTTCGTTTGGATGAGCATCCATTATAAGTCAAAACACAACAGCATAGTTTAAAGTATGCTTTACATTACTCCCAATAATGCAACTAAAGGGTAGTATGTATAGAAAATATATATTTTTAAATGTTCTTCTCCTCTAACAGCAATACCAGAACCAGGGGAGGATCCCCGTGTCACAAGGGCGAAGTACTTCATTCGGGATGAGTTTCTGGTACGTACTCGTGTTTTTGTGTTTGATCATTTTTAATCTTGTATGTTTTTGAAGTCTTGTGTTTTGGGGGTCAGAGAACATTGCAGGCGACAGAAAGCTGTTAACAAAGACCTAACTGACAACTTACTGTTGACTTTATTTTTGTTTCAATTTGTGAATGGTCAACCACTTGGAGATATCCTGCCTCTTAGCATACAATGTGTTGGAGCGCTAACCAATGGAAGCACGACTGTTACGTAGTGATGTCACTATGTTATGGAAATAAACAAATGAGGCCAATTGAGGCGTTTCAGGCAGGGGGGGGAATGTGTTTGAGAGAAACTCACTCTGGAGGGAACTTTAGGATGTTAGCCTTTGCAGACCATTTACATGCACAGAAACCTATATCACATACTACATGAAAGGGAAAACCCAAAAAGCATAATAGGGGCCCTTTAACTGTTATATTATTGATAGACCTTTGTCTGAGGTTTAGTAGGATTATTTTTCTCCTATTATAGAATATAATATTCTAATATGAATTTGTTTACGAGTGCATTATCACCAGAAACTAAGAATCCTTGTAGAATGAGGCCTTCATATGTACAGCCATGGAGTCCGCCACGTTGCACTGCCTAGTATCTATCTACTATACTGTAGCTCAGAACAGACAAGAGAGGGCGTTTCACATTCTTATGTTACCTGAAGTAAAAGTAGGGGTGCGCGAACCACTAGACGAAATAAATCCTACACACTAAAATGGTTATTACAGGTCTGTGGCGTTGCATAAGACATTAAGAGGTTGTGGAGCCACTGATCTTCAACACTAACTTGTGTGTACCTGTGTGTTCTTCAGAGGATCAGCACAGCCAGCGGGGACGGACGGCATTACTGTTACCCCCACTTCACCTGCGCCGTCGACACAGAAAACATCCGCCGCGTCTTCAATGACTGTCGCGACATCATTCAGAGGATGCACCTACGGCAGTACGAGCTCTTGTGATGGGCAGCGGTGACCGGCCTACGTATCTACCTACCTATCTATCCCCCCCTCCCCCCCGACCAGTTAGCCAATCACGTCCCCCCTTCACCTCACCCAACTTCACCAAACAGCCGAGCCCTCTCCTCCATCCTGATTCCTCTCCAGGTGACTTCAGTGGAAGACTTTTCTTCAAAAAAAGGAGTTAAGGAAGACATTTCCATCAACTATTAGCCAGGACTGACTGCTGTACTCAGAAACACTTTGACCCAGGAAGAGGGTCCAGACTGGAATCCCTCTGTGCAGGCTATCCCTCCTTTCAGCTCTCTCTCAGATATAAACACACACTGGCAGGTACACACACACTACAGCATTCAGAGCCCTTAAATAGATTGTAATGTCTAATATCACACACACAGAGAGCCTTTTAAAACGGAGTCCTCCTGCTCGACAGTCGGCAGAGGCTGAGTTGAATAACGCATTCTGAGAGAGAGGAGTTTATTCCCCGTCTGCTGAAGGAGGAAGGGAAGAGGAGAACAATGGACATGGAGGATGGAGAACTGATACAGAGGAGGGCTGTGAGCCTTTTTTGTTGCCCGAACAGATGGACTAATTGACTAACGGCTGCCTGTGGACGTGAGCGTGACTCAAACATAAGACCACGCGGCTCACATGACCCGCTCTTCAAGACACCAATCGAAGAGAAAACTACAAAAAAATGGAGGAGGAAAAAAATTAAAATAAATACCATACAATGCATACCAGTGAACTTCATGCAGTGCAAAAAATCCAAGCTATATATATATATATATATATAGATATTTATATATGTGTGTATATAAATATGTATATATATATATATATATATACATATATATATATATATATATAAATATTATATATTCCTGTAATAACACAAATCAACTTTTACGTTTTTGTTAGTTTTTACCCCATGTTGTGTGTTGGTGTACACTGTGTGTGTGATCTGCCTTTGTGCACCATTTAACCCCCCCTACACACACACACACACACACACACACACATACACATACACATACACACACACACACACAAATATACATCCTCGCCCCCCCCCCCCCTGCCCCTGCTGCTATTTGATAAATACTCAACATATGGAAAATAAATGAGAGGTTTTATATAATAAGGAAAAACACATCGAAAAGGAAAGCATGAATAGAAAGACTTATCAAGACTGGATGCAACATTTTACCTGGGAACACACACTAATATACACACACACACACACACACACACACACACACACACACACACACACACTTCACCCTCCTCAGCCCCCCCTCCCCTTCCACACGACTCTCCCCCCCCAAAACCTTTCGTCTTATTCTCTCACCCCTCCCTCCCTGTCCCACCTGGCTTTAAGTACGTCTGTCTTTATTTTACTGCTGGACTATTATTCTTGTACAGACTGTAAAATGTATTATTTTGTACAACTTTATTGAAGAAAAAAAAATACTTGTAGAAGATCCCTGTGCCTTGATCACGACTGTACGTGTAAAAATGAGCTAATATGTAAGTTATGTTTCACTGCGCTGTACAGCTGGACGGGGCTGTCCCACCTCGTCCGTGCTAGCTCGCCCCCCCCCCGCTGCAGGGCGGGGGGAGGGGCATCGGATCGGGGCGGAGGCCTTTTGTCTGTTGCTTAGTTTCCTTCCCCCCCCCCCCACATTTGTTTGTTCGTTAATTCATTTGTTTTGCTTTGACTCTCCTCTGGTTTATATAATATGATTTGAAAAAAAGAAATGGAAAAAAAAAAAAAAAGATTATCAGACACACCACCTTTAATGCTGTGTAGTGAAAGATACTGAACCCTAACACAATTTAATATATATATAAAATATATTTCATATTTTATATATATGTACTGTTCACTTATATCTATGTCCCTTGTGAGCTGTCCACCAGGTTTCCTCTCTGTCAGTAACATCTGCATACGTTGTTGGAAAGGTGGCGATTCTGGGTGCAATGGGATGGGTATTCATTTGTGTTTGTTTTTTTTATTTTAGCTTTAACTCTTTTGAAGGAGAGGCAAATATCCAGTTGCAAAACATTGCTTGTTTCTACATAAACCAAATTCTTTTTGCTTAAACAAGAAGAAACGGTTGTATTAGTGTTTGGTTCATTCTACGGCTGAGTTGACTCGATCCTCTACATCTGCACCACACACTCAGCTGCCCGTTTGTTAGGTTCACTTGTCTTAAAGTGCAGTCTAATGCAGCAGGCCTGCAGTGAATCCAACCCTATGTAGATTTTAATGTTCTGTGAGAGGTCTTCTTATTTCTGCCTCAGTGAGGGGAGACTTAATATTAGAAACACCTCTCAGTGAAACAGGATAAACAATTGATAATAAAACGTGTTTATATTACAAAACCAGAGATTGCAAAGTGTTTTAAGGGTTATATAAAGATACAACATGAGAACATGGGCTGTAAATATTTAGATCAATTAATAAAAATATTAAATGTGTTCTTACATACGGATTTTACAACAAAAACTGAATATTATTACCCTTACCTTGACAGTAGGGTTCATTGTTGTTCTGTTGCATTAGACTGCATTGGTTTAAGATAGATTGACCTTATACGATGGCAACTGAGCGTAAACTAATCTGTGTTTCTTACACCCGTCAGTCCTGAGGAATATCAACATTTTAGCCAAGGTCATATCCTGCTTTTCACAACACACGGGGTTAAAATGAATGTGACGAACAGAAGCAGTTGGAGCAGAAACTCTTCTTTTCCCTAAACTGACAACTTTTTGTGGTCAAAGATGCAGGTATGCTCTCCACCATGGCCTCTTATGCAGTTGACATCAGGGCCTTATATCTTCCAGAGTTCATCGTTTATCATTATACAATTAATATAATTATTCACTTTAGTTTAAAAAAAACAACAGGCATTTTAGGTTTTAACACTTTACCGCTTTGGAAAGGGTATCTTTGGAAAGGGATATAGTGCGTTTTATATAAAGCTTAGATCAGCTTTATATAAAACGCACTATATCCCCAAAACACTGACGGGCTTACCTGGAACATGTTATCGTTGTAAAACTCAACTTTAAATTTGACTTCCAAGCCATTTGGGCCCAGGTTTATTTCTCTGGCGTAATCCTTCAAGAGGTGCAGCAATGATAACACGAGAGAAGAGATTACATTAACCGTTTTATGTCAACACGTCCTCACCTGTGTTCTCCTTATGCCACATAGGCTGAAACAATAAGAAGGTTTAATTTGAGCTCAACCACATATTCGCTATTTTGACATCAAGTGTTTCAGAATTCGTTGGGTTTCGATACTTTAAGCTGAAGCAGATGTTTAAAAGCCACATGAAGCAATGGGTAAAAACACCTCAGAGAAGCACAGGCACAATAATATCCCGGCGCAAGTTTTTATATGCAGTTGTGCTCATTTGGCTTGCGCTTTTAAGATATGAAACTAAACTCTTCTTTCATCAAGGCCTGTAAATGCTCTCCTTATTATTTATGGCATATTGTGTATTGCAAAAAAAATAACATGTGAGAGGTTTTTCAAAAGCCATACAAACTATAATTCAGTCTGATTGTCTGAAAAGTTCATGGATGAAGATATTTAACACCTGCAAGAAGATTTGTTGAAGACATTTGAAAATGTAATAAGCTAAACTAGGAAGTATTTCATTCGATATATATAATGATTGAGCTTCAAGAGGAAACATGTCACATGATAGTAATTCCTCCTTTAGAAACGATACCCAATGCCAATCCCACAGTTGATTTGAGTACCAACTCTCAAAGATCACAAAGAACTGCACCATTGTTTCAAAGAATGTCTGTATAAAAGTGGAATCCTGTCTTAAAGCTCAGGTGAAACACCTGTTTACACCAGATGCAGGGAGGTCTTACAATCTGCTGCTGTTGCAAAGTTAATCCTTATAGCCTCGCACCACCCGCTGTGCAGGAGTAACTAGATACACACAATCAGGACTCAATCACACAACTGTCTCTGTGCTCATTTAAACTTTTAATTACACTTACATGGCCAAAGGTATGTGAACACAGGCATATTACACTCTGTGGTTGTTGAACTTCTCATTTAAAAACCATGGGCATTAATAAGCTGTTATAACAACTGTTCTCGGAAGGCTTTCCACAACGTAGTTCGAGTACGGTTGCTGAATTTGCTCCTATTTAGATTAGCTGTTGATATTAGTCAATAATCCCTGGCTCATAGTCTGCTTCCTTATCAATCATGATTTGATTGGAGTTGATGTCAGGTCTCTAGTCAACTTCTCATATACCAAAGTATTTGTAGATGAGTCTCAGTGTCAACAGAGGTGGTATCATTTTTAAACAAAATGGCTATTCACCAAACATGGAGTCATATTTTAGATTTATACATCATTATGAGTGTTAATGTTTATCCTAACGGGAATTAAGAGCTTTGTCCAAGCCTTAAAAAAAACACCCAAAAGTGGATTAAGTGGGACATACTTTCAGCTGTAGTGTACATTCACTACAACCCAAGTGGTGATGTCAAAGCAGGTATATTACAAAGACAAATTACTGACAAATGTAAGACTAAACAATTGTTGGGCAGTGGTCACTGCAAAGCTGCACCATGCCGGCACATTTTGATCCGCAGGGGGACTGAAGGAGTAGATTTTTAACTTTAACTTCAGATTTACACGTTATCGTCAATGGTTATTTTTATATAATGCAACTAAAATGGTGTACTATATTTATTGAAAGCCTTTCCTATCAGACAACACAATTGACACACAAAAAAATGCCTCTTCAAAGTTGTAGCAACGACATAAATTATATTCAAGGTGGCAATACTTTTCTGATATTTAATTTTGTTTTAATTGTGTTGTATGGAAGCAAATAATTGCCATATACATTTGAATTGTTGATGCAAGTGATGTTAAAATGCAGCCAATACTGAAAAGGCTACTTCATACAGCACTGCACTGAAATGTTTAATTAAAAAAAAAAAAACTATTTGAAGTTGTGCAGTGAAGCACCTTCTTACACTTCAATTACCTGCTTTCAAAGTGACCAATATTTCTGACAGCGGTTTAAGGCATACTTTTCCCCCGCTCCACCGGAGGGAGCCAGAGGTTAAAAACAAATACAGACGGGTAAAAAACAAACACGTGTGACGACTAAACCTAAACGAGCTTCTTCCTCCTGCTAAGCCCCGCCTCCACGTTTCCATGCATGGCGCGCTTCGCCTCTGTGACTGGCTCCCTGCTCCTCCCCGGGTGGCGGTGACTCTGTAGTGGGCTGTGGGTGAACACACAGCAGGCATGAGTGCGGCGGGTAGTGCTCGGTCCGGTTCGGCCGCTGGCCCGGTCCAACAGGGGCTAAAAGAGGCTCTAATCGAGACACTGACGGCCATCCTGTCCCCGGTTCAAGAAGTGCGCGCTGCCGCGGAGGAGCAGATTAAAGTGCTGGAAGTGACAGAGGGTGAGTAGCCAGTTTCTCAAAGCTAGTTTGACGGAGTTACCAGCGGCTAGCTGCCCGGTGTCCGCACTCACTGACGGCATGGGCCTCCGCAGAGATAAGCACCATGCGGACAGCTGTGTGCTGCTTCCATCAGGGCTAACTCCGGCTGTGTTTGCTAAGCTGAGAAGTAGCTAACAGTCACGATAGTGTGGTAACTGTGTCAGGTCCATGAAGGCCACATGTATTAGTTAGAAGTTATTTAGTGGTGTACAAGTTAGCTTACAATCTCTTATCTTGCCTTCTTCAAAGTGACGCAGACGGACAAATCACAACTAACCGTGTGCCACAAGTGTAATGGTTAACGTTAGGTTGTAAGTATGTCACATTGAGCACATGGGGGGACTGCTAGGACCCCGGCCCTTAAACAACAGAGCAACAGGGTGGACTGGGTTATTCTTCTGCCTCAATAGGAACGGTCCGTTAGCTTTTAGATCAGCGTATCACTGTGAGCTAGCTAAGAGATTCTCCCAGTTCTTCTGAAACTAAAGCAACAAAAACGGTTAGGAGAGCATTGGAATGTGATAACGTCACCTGGAAAAGGGGTCAGGTGGGTTGACAGCAGCATGTCCTAAACGCCACCTGAGACAAGTGTTATTTAACCGTTTCTATATATATATATTAAGAGCAACAGTGTTTACAGTGAGATGCAAACTGACTTCAAGAGGTCCCAGAAGTTACCCATCACTTAAACGTATATAACTATTTTTATGGTCGCTATGGCAACAACGGAATGCCCGTTGACAGATTTTCCCGCGAAGATGTCTCCCAGGGCGGTTCTCCCGCGCCAGCCTCCAGCAGCATCAGCACCATCAGGATGAGAGAGGGCAAGACAAAAAGGACTACTGTCCCAGAATCCATCCATGCATACACAAAGTCCATATTACTTAATGTAAAGCATTCCTACACAAACATAGTAATGTGCTTATCTGGAGACCAACTGCACAAAATGGGCTCTTTTGTTGTTGTTGCTCTTTCAGTTCTAGTTGTTTTGATAGATGTAAAACATGGAACAGTTGACAGCCAGTTTCTATATTCTTTTTGTATCTAACAGTGACAGAATGGGTCTGTTTTCCCTTGTCCCTGGTATTAAAATTGTTATTATAGCATCTGGAGATATAGTTGATGAAAATCCTAGGCCCCATGGAAATGACCTTGTATCTTATGTTAAAGAGCAACTTGCAGGTTAGAGACACCAGTGAATAAATGTGTAGGAAAATGATGTATACACTAGATTTTCAAAAAAAGATACATAAATATACACTACAGTGACATCTGGCCTCGTTTTTGTAAGACATTTTTACTTCCGCATTAAAAAAAAGACCACCCGCGTGTGACGTCACATGGGGGAGAGCGGCCGGTCTAACGTATTAATAAACATGGATCACAATGCTAGTTTTGACACAGAAGAGGTTGCAAATGTATATTCGAATGCATATGACGGACCACAACCTTATAATTATGAGCCTGCTAGGCGTCCAAGAGACCAGGAGCAGCCAAGGATTAGAAGAAATAACGGCCATCGGAGAGAAATGGAGCTGTGGGGTGAGGAGAATCAGTGGAGAACAGGGCAGCTGTCTTGGTGAGTGACCGGCGTTAGCTACAGTTAATGTTAGCTAACGTTGGTCACATCACAACATTGTAAAGTTAGCTATCATATGTCAGGCTATAACTAAAGTAGTATTGATAATATAGTAACGTTACTGGCAGGACTGTTGATACTGATCCATAACAGAAACTAATGCGCAAGTATCAGCCGTATCTCGCGTTACCTAATGCAACTCCACACTACGTCTTACGGTGCTGTACCGGAGGGGAGAGAGAGAGAGGAGCGAAGAGAGAGAGAGGAGCGAAGGGGGAGAGAGAGAGAGAGGAACGAAGAGGGGGAGAGAGGAACGAAGAGGGGGAGAGAGATGTAATGCGCTTTCCTGATAAACGTTTTGTTTGATAGGCCTCAGCTGTGGAGAGTATGTGCTGCAGGGAGGTGGATGCACCTCGCACAACGCACCCAGGAACGAAAGCTAGCTCCGGTCCTTTTCCTGTTAGGGAAACTGTGGACTCGATGTCCTGACAGGCAGGTTGCACAAACTCCAGCTCACCATGATTAAAAATTGTGAAATGCAATGTAAAATTACCAAAGAAATACCAGCTCACTAAATCACAACCGCTCAAACCAACTACAAACTACTACCGCGGATTGGGCAGAGAAGGAGTCTGAGAAAGTTGCTCCCCCATGTGACGTAATATGACGCGTTTGACGTATGACGTTAAAAAAAAGCAGTTTTTAGTAGCAGAGCTCAAAACGTCTCCTTTCCCCTCTGAATTCCTGCCCTTATGTCTCGTAAAACATATATAATCCTGCATTCACTTTTTTAATTGTAATTTCCAGGCAAGGTTAAGCATAAATCTAGAAAAAAAAAAACCCTGCAAGTAGCTCTTTAACAATTGGGGACAGTTGGTGTTTTGTGGAAAATAATAACCATCACAAAGGATTTCATTTTGATAAAGTCCTCAATCCAATAGGATGGGTACAGTACCTAACAGCCGTAGCTTATGTTCCACTAGACTTTCCATTGTCAGTCCTGCAATCCTCGTGCCCATGGTAAAAAGGCTAATTGTTAACTCTGTCTGTCGGCTGTGCTGCAGCGTCGCAGCGAGGCCGACCCTTTCCGCTGGCCCCTCTCTAAGGCAGACGCTCGACAGGACTGTCAGCACTCGCATTGTCTTCTGGCGCCTGATGTCACTTTTAGTCAAACCCAGTTAATGAGAGAGCTGCATTGAGCTGAGGTTGATGCTGATCCTGAACTGTATTTATCTGCATGCAGGTCAGGCCAGGTTCACACCAGTGTACACATTACAGCTCTCAGGCTGTTGCAATGTCGGTGGCCTTGGAACTTCATTATATCAATGTTGTCATGTATTGTGGTACACACCAACTCAAAACAGCATCCCTAGAAGTTTGTTGTATTAAGCCGCAGCTAAGAGAATTCTGCATGTTTGTGTGTGTGTGTGTGTGTGTACGCTTGTTTTAATCTGCCTATTTGCTGTGGCTTTTTTGTGTTTTTCTTTTTTTACTTATCACACAGTGCTTTTTTGTCATATTTATAATTAGCAGCATCCAGTTTAAATCTCAGATAAAATCATATTGTCCTTACAGGGAAAACTCAAGTGACGAAGTGAAAACAAATTATCTAAAACCTAAATATAAAAAAAAACTACCACTACAAATAGCACAAAATAAATTCAAGTCAAGGCATATTTGTAAGAATAAAAATGTTGAGTCCTTGTCATTAGATTTAGGTAACAATGGAAATTGGAGAGATTTTGAATTGGAAGGCTATTTCTTAACTGTTTATTAGTGTCTTAAAATCTTCATTACATCCAGTGTAATTCAGTGTTGTGGAAAAACACTTGAACTACCTAGCTTCTTGCCTTAGTGAGTGCTCTCAGCCTACTCTAATCATATAATGTGTGTGCTGAGCTAATTTATTAATAATAGATTTTTGTCTTTGCTGATATATTTATGTTCCAGAGTTTGGTGTCCATCTGGCAGAACTCACAGTTGATCCTCAGGGAGCGCTCGCAATCCGTCAGGTGAGTGTAAAAAAGTAGACGTGAGCAAATGATGTCAGATAAACGTCTCAGTTTTTTATCATGATCTGCATTCTGTGTTGAGCTAACTTCCACTTATTTTCTAACATCTGTCTGTGTACGCAGTTAGCATCAGTCATCCTGAAGCAGTATGTGGAGACTCACTGGTGTTCCCACTCAGAGAAATTTAGACCTCCTGAAACTTCCGATCAGGTAATTACACCTTAAATACATATATTTTGTTTGTTACTGGAAAACTATCCCTGTTTCAAAAGTATTGTTGAACATAATATTAATTTGAGTTGTCAAACTGCTGTTGCCCCCTCCAGGCTAAAGCCGCCATCAGGGTGCTGCTGCCCAGCGGTCTGCGGGAGGCCATCAGCAAGGTCCGCTCCAGTGTAGCGTACGCCGTGTCGGCCATCGCCCACTGGGACTGGCCCGAGGCCTGGCCGCAGCTGCTCACCCTCCTGATGGAGATGCTGGTCAGTGGAAACGTCAACGCTGTGCACGGGGCCATGAGGGTCCTCACAGGTATGGAATATTATAAACATAAAAACACTAAATCTGTACATCAACAACCTCCACAACATGAGGCCAAACCCTTAAAATCTTGGTTTTTAGAATATTTATTTTTTATCATAATATTTTTGGGTTGTACAAATATCATCCCAGTATTTAATGAACACTATATTTAAGGAAATCCTTGAGGGACTTTTTATAAATACAAAACACTTTTTTGTTAATAAATCAATAATTCTTACGCCAGATGTGACAAAATACAGGATAAAATGATGAAGTGATGACATTTTGGAAAGGCATGAAAAGTGTGACGCGTTTTTATTTTTTTAAATGCAGCACTTGAAAGGGTATTTTGAGATGATATAAGTTGTTGGAGATGCAGTGTTAATATTTGACATTATCAAGGAATTCAAGCAATATCATTTGTGCCAAAAGATGAGATTTTAAAGTTACAAACAGTATTTCATTACAGGTCCAACACAAGGACTTTTGGGGAAAGCACTCCTGTCTCGTGCACGGCCTTACGTTTTATCTGTATTTGAAAGTTGTATTTTGTTTTCTTTAAAAGAATAAAAGATTTGACGTAAAAGGTCCCTGGAAGAAATAATGACGTCAGAAAACATATTTTAAATCTTTTTTTGTTCATGTGACAATCTGTTTTGCTTTCAGAGTTTACTCGGGAGGTGACTGACACACAGATGCCGCTGGTGGCTCCTGTCATCTTACCTGAAATGTACAAGATCTTCACCATGGCAGAGGTATTTCTACACCACATTTTAGTCATCTATTTTCCAAGGGCCAGAGCAGCAGCACTGTATTTTTTTTACTTTAAATTGCAATACATTGATGCAACACTTCTTAGCTTTTTCTTTAAAAATGTAAATTGAAATAGTGAAACTTTTCCCAGTCTAGTTCTTAAGGTATTGTAAGCATTTTACATTGTAATGGATACACACATTTTATTCCAACTACCATTTGGAACTGTGCGATGTTATGTCCCTGATAATGTCTGAGATGGTTCTGCTCTGCGTCTGTCTTATAGGAAGTTTCAGGTACCTTTCTAATGTTCCCTCTTTGTTGCAGGTGTACAGTATTCGTACCCGATCCAGAGCCGTGGAGATATTCACCACCTGTGCCAACCTCATCTGTGCTATTGAAGAGCATGAGAAGGTGAGTCATAACAAGACATACAAGGATATTTTCTCCGATATTATGTGAATAAGTAGATATTACATTTAGTTTGAATCAAATGTAATCAATGTAATTTAACTTGTTTTACTTTTGACTTCACTTCCTTTTTCACCCAATGAGTTGCAGTTGATTTGATTTATCATTTATAGTTTTATTTAACTTTTAAAAGTCCACATTTCTTGAAAACTGATGACAGACATTGCCAACGTCTTGCCTATAACTTGCCTATAACTTGTCAATAATGTGTATGTAATGAAATGGTTCCTGCTCTGTACTTGTGTGTGTGTGTGTGTGTGTAGGGTGCAGCCAAAGCGTTGATCTTCCCCGTGGTGCAGCAGTTCACTGAAGCGTTTGTGCACGCTCTACAGATGCCTGAGGGACCCTTGTCTGATAGCGGTCTCAAGATGGAAGTCCTAAAGGTGAGAGTCGGCGAGTAGAAGTGTATCGCAAAGTTCAAATGTCTCAAAGCAGAAGTTGTTACTTGCATATAAGATAAGACAATTGAGTTTTAACTTGTATGTATTCGAAATTAAATGTAGAATAGAATTGGGAGGGATGAAACCCTCTTTAATGGTCACACATGCACAGCACACACAGTGAAATTTGGCCTCTGCATTTAACCCATCCTAGTACTAGGAGTCTAGTACTAGGAGTCTAGTACTAGGAGCCTAGTACTAGGAGCAGTGGGCAGCTATTGTACAGCGCCCGGGGAGCAATGGGGGGAAGGGGGATGTCCGGTGCCTTGCTCAAGGGCACCACAGCAGGGCAGGAGGTGAACTGGGACCTCTCCAAGTAGCAGTCCACACTCATGGGCCATGCACATGAGGCCAGAAGAGTACATTTCATTTTTCTATCACATACACCATTTCAATAATATGTTAACCGCAAACTTGAAAACATAATTCATAATATTGATCAACATTTTATCCATACGTTTTATTTATTAATGGTTGGATTACTCCCATGTAAACATAGCCACATTATAGCTCATTAGCCTAATGGTACAAAAACACCTTACAGACTTCCAGCATAGTTTTTATTCCATAAAAACCTTTGCCTGCCAGGGGAGCCTTCTGAAATCTACCTGCATTTGGGAATGTCTGGGTGTTCATTTCGGTGCTTGTAACGACTATCTACACTTGATGCTTTGAATCTGTATTTCTCATTCTGTTTTCCTTCTTGCCCCCAGGCAGTAACTGCGTTGGTGAACAATTTCCCCAAACCCATGGTGTCCTCCATGCAGCAGATTCTACCCATCGTCTGGAACACACTGACTGAAAGTGCAGCTTTATATCCTTTACCATGCCAAACAGCACAAGTGCTCATTTACTGCTGTCAAAGCCTGTCTTTAAAAGCTTCTTTAGACTAATAAGTGAAACATAGTTTTTCTGAGTTATAGCTACAGGTTAACTTCTTAATGGCACTTTTACTATTGGAATTTGTGATCACTGATCCACCTCAACGCATAGGCTCATCCTGTTACATGGAAGTCACATGATTACTAATCAAAATCCAACATTTTGATATTAAGAAAGACTGAAAGAATAGTGCATGTTACAAATAATTTACATTTTGGAGAGTTAATTGAATGATGAAAATGGAAATCCTATGCAATGAGTACTGACAACTAGATAAAACAAATAAAGAATAACAGTGTTTTTGTACTGGAGTAATCCTTAACCAAATGTCCACCTATGTGAGAACAGAAGTCAACTACACAGAGGAAGTGGATGACCCTGTAGACTCCGATGGTGAGCAGAAAGCTTTGTCACATTTGTTTGAAAAGTTAGCAACATTCAAAGCATCATTTCAATCTTCTGATATTTCTCTTGGCTCTTTTCTGCAGGTGAAGTTTTGGGCTTTGAGAATCTGGTGTTCAGCATCTTTGACTTTGTCCACACGCTGCTGGAAAACCACAAGTTTAAGAGCACAGTGAAGAAAGCCCTGCCGGAACTCATCTACTACGTCATCCTGTACATGCAGATCACTGAGGACCAGGTGAGGAGCGACCGGCAAACATCAGAGGAAATGTTGGTTGGCAAAGATGGATTTATGAGGTGTAAAAAAAAAGTGTTGGTGCCATCTTGTTTTTTTTTCCAGATCAAAGCGTGGACGGCAAATCCCCAGCAGTTTGTAGAGGATGAGGATGATGACACCTTCTCCTACTCTGTCAGGATATCTGCTCAGGACCTGCTGCTGGTGAGAAGAAAACCTACAAATCTTATTGTAAAATTCCACAAATCCAAAAGGCAACATTTTAAAGACCAAATTGTATTAACACCTTTTATAACAGTTACATGTTAACACGCATAACAACACAAACAATGAGAAAGTGCTAAAATGACTTAAAGGTAGGGTAGGTAATTCACTTCAGAAACACTTTATGTTCCATGGAATGCTCTTAACATCCCGATAGCAATGAATACATTAAATGCTTTGACAATAAATATATACAAATATTTCATCTGTGGAAGCCGTGGCGCTGTAAAAAGCTAGACAGATAACTGGATGGCCTACCTGCCTGTCAGCCTTCCATCTCGTGCACAAACTTATTTCGTGCCCTCATTGGTCATGTGCGCGTTTCTTTCGTTGTGTACTTTCAAATTCTAGCGCACTCGAGCTGGTTTCTCCATTCTTACCTACCCTACCTTTAAATTAAATGCAGTTAATATACACATACATACGCACAATGGTAATAATAATGATAGAAACAAAAATAAAAACATATCCTGATCCTCACAGGATTAAAGACTCCCAGCTAAGCTTCTATGGTGGCTTACAGGCTACAACAGCCCAAAACACTTCAATAAGGAGAAACGAGCTGCAGCTTCAGAAACGATGCAAATATAATGACACAAATGTGCAAAACGCATGCAGTTGGCCAACGTTATAATCAGAGGTGCACATAACTGGTACGCAGGTACGCATGCACGGCAAACATCTGAAATGCGTAACGTCACTTGTGTCACTAAGCGCCTTTGCGTACTGACGGACTTGTGAAGCTTTTCCAGAAGGTGCTTCAGGGCTCGACAGTAACGGTGGCAACCAGTTTTTAACATAAAGAAATAAGGACAGCAAAATGTTAATTATTTGTTGTATTAAGAGTGATATTTAATTATTGTTGTGACCAGTCGGAACCTGATACTCAAGTTGCACGTGCATTGGTGTGATTACGGAGCCAGAAAGCGATGCACGTTTACTTGCGTGCGCGGTGTGCTGTGTGTTTGTTTTACAAAAAATGGCGAAGCAAATTAAGTTGTTTGACTGTGGGGTAAAAAGTTCGGCCAACCCGTCAACATCTGAACGAATGTTATTACTACCAAAATAAAAGTGCTAAACGAAACTTGACCTTAGGAAAATATTGGCATAAAAATATAATCACTTCTATAAAAAGGTAACACATTTTAAATATAGTTAGACATATTAAAGGTGGGGTAGGTAAGTTTGAGAAACCGGCTCGAGATACACTTTTTGTTATATTCCATGGAATGCTCTTAACATCCCGATAGCAATGAATATCTTAAGTGCTTTGACAAAAAGTCCATAAAAACATTTCATCTGTGGAAGCCGTAATACTGTAAAAAGCACGACCAATCATCTGAGCCGGCCCGGCTAAAATAACTGGACGGCCTACCTGCCTGTCAGCCTTCCATCTGTGCACAAACTTATCTCGTGCCCTCATTGGTCATGTGCGCGTTCGTGTGTGTTGGAGGAGGGGCTCTGTAAGGAAGTGGCAGATTTTTTCCGGCTGTGTATTTTCAAATTCTAGCGCACTCGAGCTGGTTTCTCCAAAATTACCTACCCCACCTTTAATAATAAGTAATTTACAGCATTAATAATTAATATCTAATTCTTAACTGTGAATGGTTTTCATTTATTTAACATTAGAAATGTATTAGTCTGGCCAATCCAAGACTTCAATGCTGAAGGGCCAATGGATCTATGGTGGGGATCAGCACAAAGGTCAAGAAAAGCCACATTTGAAAGGGAGACAACGGATGACAAAGAAACTAGTGACTTGCTCAATTCAATTGTGAGGGATCTGTGAAGAACATGACAACAGCTGCACTACTGGTATTTTGTATACCAGCAATGGAGGGTGGACAAGTTCACTACCACTTAAGTTTCAAATAATTGTGTTAATTACTTATTGTAAAGCATTTGAACATTCTTTTGTGTCACATGTTCATTATTAAGTTGATGTATGTATGTATAGTATCTTAATTATTTAGGGGGCGTGTGGCGCAGTGGATAGGTATCGGGATCAGATGGTCACAGGTTCAAACCCCACTGCAGTCAACATGTCGTTGTGTCCCTGGGCAAGACACTTCACCCCAAATTGCTCCTGTGGGGATTGCCCACAGTATTGAGTATGAAGTCGCTTTGGATAAAAGCGTCTAACAAGTAACATGTAATGTAATGTAATTTAAAATATAAGGTGACTAAAAATGGCAACTGTATTTTCAGTTTTGGCAACCAAAAGATGATGCCTGGTTGCCAGCCTGGCAACCACTTTTAAAAGTTAGCGTTGAGCCCTGCGCTTAGATCACGGGACGACAGAGTCGGTCGCCGTGTTAACGTCGGTGTGTACAACGGAATCGTGCCAAAACTACGCCAACTGGCTGCGAGACTCCCCTGTGCACATTCTGTGCCCTGCGCACACACTGGAGAACTGCGCAAAATCAGCTCGCAGTTCACTAGCAATAAAATAAGTGTTTTCTGAATGGAGATCGGATCGATCAGGCTAAGCTAACGTTGTATATGCTCCGTCCACACTCCCAACAACGGCCTACATACATAAATAAACCAGCGACTGTATTCGCCATGACACAGACAGTCTGTGGTTTGTACTTGTTTAACTTTTGTCTAGTTTCTGAACAGATATGAGGAGCTGTGAGCTCTGAGTGCTAACAGCTAACGGCTGATGTTTTGGTTTTGTGGTTTGCATTGAAGATGACGTCACGGCAGTTTTACGCAGCGTCGCGCCACCCGCCGTACAGCCGCTCGCCCCGCCTACACTGCGTTACTATAGTAACTACCCCAGTTACTAAACTGTAATGGAAACGCAGCTTAAAGTGAGCCTGGCCTACCAAGGCCAAACTAAGCTGTGCTAAGCCGTGCTAGGTCCTGCAGTGGAAAAGCGCCATAAGAAAGTTATGTGCACCCCTGGTTATAATCCACTAACGTCAACAAGCGCTCAGGTCCCAGCTGTGCGTCTCAGTTTTCAGTGTCTCGTTGTTTCCGCTGTGCTTTGAGCTTCTTGCAGCGTTTAGTATTCAGCGTTTCGTCAGTTGGTGAAGGTTTCCTTAATGCTGTGCATGTGTTGTCAAGTTAGTTAAGATGTTTCTTCCTTTTTCAAGTGTTTTTGGCACCTTTGTTGTGTTTCTTTTAATTGTATTGTTTTTTGAAACTGCAGCGCCATTCTCCTAATGGAAGTGTTTTGGGCCGTTGTAATGCGTTTGCACCGATAGGCCACCTTACCTTTCTTCATTTGATATAAAATCACAGCTTATTTAACTGTACAGCCGAGTGAGTTCCCTTTTTAAAAATTGTCTGAGGGAGCTTTTCACACCTTAATTGTTTTTTTTAAACGAGGTCCAGCAACAGTCAGAGTATAACAATATCTCTACACTTAATCCTGAAAAAAAAAATACATTTATTTCTCTCCTTGTTCCTCTCCTACACATACAGCCTCCGCAAACACTAGAGGCATCTGTTGAACCTTGTTGCCTTAGTCCTTTAAAACGTCTGGAAATAGTTGTTTACTTTCGATGAGTGTTGAATCATAGGGACGCTGAGCAGTGCGGTCACTTGTAAAACAGGGGTCAGAAATATCCAGCATGGATACGTTTGCATTAGTTTCACAGCAGCCTTTGGTCCATTTGGAGAGTGAGTATGATGATGACCTTTGACCTCTGCTTTCAGGCTGTTGCTGCAGAGTTTCAGAATGAGAGCGCAGCAGCTCTGGCAGCGGCAGCAACCAGACATCTCCAGGAGGCCGAGCAGGCCAAAAACAGCGGCAATGAGCACTGGTGAGTTATTTATTACATCTCAGTGTCTTTAAACTGTCCAATTTGAGACACTTTTCACCTGTCCAGACTTCTGCTTTGAGTCTGAAATATATGTATCTTTTTTTAACCAGGTGGAAGATCCATGAGGCATGCATGTTGGCCCTCGGGTCTGTAAAAGCCATCATCACAGAGAACGTGAAGAACGGTCGTATCCAGTTTGACATGCACGGTTTCTTGGCTGGTGTTATTCTCGCCGATCTTAACTTGGCATGTGAGTACTCAACCGACTCTGAGAAATGATCCACAACACACATGAAAAACTCTTGAATCTTCCATAAGTAGGAACTTTGTGACTGACTTTACTTTCTCTCTCTTGCTCGTCTCCTCTCGTGTGGTTCTTTGCTGTCCAGCGGCGTCTCCGTTCCTCCTGGGCCGGGCTCTGTGGGCGGCCAGTCGCTTCACGGCGGCCATGTCTCCGGAGCTCATCCAGCAGTTCCTGCAGGCCACCGTCAGCGGTCTGCACGACAGCCAGCCGCCCTCTGTACGCATCTCCGGGGTCAGGGCCATCTGGGGGTGAGCAAGCTGTGTTTGTTACTGTTTTTAACTGCTGAGATCTATTCAAAACATCTTGTGTTACATTTGTTATCTATGAACACAATACATTTTTTTAAGAACCAGAAAAAACGGTATGGATGGTTCCTCTAACGGAATCAATTAATTCTGGTCTTTCATATAACTGCTGAACATTTTTAAAACCCCACAAATAAATGATTCCATTAGCAGACAGTCAGAGGGGTTCAGACCCACATTTGAAATACTTGAAAAACTACCAAAAATGTGCAACTTTAAAGAGTTTTTAAATGGTCACTGGCTAACTGACTTAAAGGTCCCATCATATGCTTTTCTGGTTATTACCTGTCCCCTTGTGCAGACTCCCGCGGAGCAGACTCCCGAGCAGCAGACTCCCAAGCAGCTCAGGAGTCTGCCCTGCGAGGCTCCCGGAGCGGACAGTGTGAGGTGGATTTCCCGCTGTATTTCCCTGGATGCTGGATATAGACCAAGTGCCATGCCAGCGGACACCGCGGAGTTGAGTTCAGGCTGAGCTCCACTAACATGGCACGCAGACCCCACGTAGCAACCAGGAAACTACACCAGTAATCCAGCTCACACTGTCCGCTCCTCGAGCCCCACAAATCGGAGCAGCGAGCCCCACAACGTCCTGCCAACACGGCACCCAGACCCCACGCAGCTTTCTCATCTGTTTTTCATTGCTTGTGTCATTTTCTGGTTGCTAACAAACACCATTGTAACACATAAACACTGATGTTCAGCTGTAAAGGTGGTTGACTAATCAGAACAGAGTGGGCTAGCTGACCAATCAGAGCACAGTGGGCTCATAGGGAGGGGGGGGTGGGGCAGGAGCTCCAACAAGGCGTGTAGGACAGAGAGTGAATACACATACTATACAGAGATGCTGTATGAGAAACCAATGTGATTTTGGAACATTGAACAATATAAATCTATTCTAGTAGACCTCAACAATGGAATTATGATCAGTAGAAATGGCCAAAACATGGGACCTTTTAAGATAAAGGTGTTGGATGGATACCGTCTGTTTATTAAATTCTGCTTTCCTCTTTGATCTCCAGGTACTGTGATCAGCTGAAGCTGTCGGAGAGCACCCATGTCCTGCAGCCCTTCCTCCCCAGCATCCTCGAAGGACTCATCCAACTGGCCGCCCAGTTCAGCTCAGAGGTGCTCACCCTCGTCATGGAAACCCTGTGCATCGTCTGCACCGTGGACCCCACCTTCACCACCAACGCAGAGAACAAGATCTGCCCCCTCACCATCGCTATTTTCCTGAAATACAACAACGGTACTGCTACAACTCCTCTGACAACGTCCTCTATCAGACTACTTTCATATCAAACACATCATTTTAACTCCATTCTTAATCTTTCTGGCTTAAATAGGGGATACATTGTCAAGATATTTTACTTAAAATATGTTTTGGATACTTTGACATAGATTTTGAAAGAAAGCATATTTGTGTTAAACCTTCTACATTCTCGAGTTTTCAGAAATTGTTCAATTTAAAACCAAATCTTTGTAAAAAAAAAAAAGACATATTAACCTAAAAATGCTGAGCTCCTTCCTTCTTGAATTAGGCATCAGGTTTACCAGCTTTCAAATGATGTACACCACTTCTATGTGGCATATACTGTTGACCAGCTATTTCCTCCTAGGGACTCCATTTCCCCTCTTAACACATAAATGGTTCTACTGTATTTCGATAGAGATCCATAGTTTAATATGTCCCTTTTTTATCTTTGTCACCTCTTCTTCTCAGACCCTGTGGTGGCGTCCCTGGCTCAGGACATCTTTAAGGAGCTGGCACAGATCGAGGGCTGCCAGGGCCCCATGCAGATGCGTCTCATCCCCACGCTGATCAGCATCATGCAGGCTCCCACCGACAAGATCCCCTCTGGACTCTGTGCTGTGAGTAGATAGAGGCACTGACATTGTTCATGTGTCTAGATATGGCACATCTAAAAATGTTACAGGACCAAAAAAGCCAAATAATCAGCTTTTGTCTGCAGGGCTATCTTGTTTTTTAACTAAATCTGACCACTTTTCGTCTCCCTGTGTCTGTGCTACAGTCGTCCATCGACATCCTGACCACAGTGGTCCGAAACACCAAAGCCCCTCTCTCAGAGCTACTGGTGTGCCAGGCTTTCCCTGTGGTGGCTCAGTGCACCTTACGCACTGACGACAACACGATAATGCAGGTAAACACACCAAAGTTAATTTTATTTTGCATTTCATCTCAACACGAGCGTAACTGTCAAGCGCTATAACTTAAATGAAGAAATACCACAATGTATAACTTATTGTGTTCACATTCATTCACATAACAAAGACTTCTTCCTAATTCTCTTCTGCTCACACTCTTCTCCAGAACGGAGGCGAGTGTCTGCGGGCGTACGTCTCCGTGGCCCTGGAGCAGATCGCTCAGTGGAGGGACGAGCAGGGCAACAGCGGCCTCTGGTACGTCATGCAGGCGGTCAACCAGCTGCTGGACCCCCGCACCTCGGAGTTCACGGCCGCCTTCGTGGGCCGGTTGGTTTCCACTCTGATCTCTCGGGCGGGAACCCAGCTCGGGGAACAGCTGGACCAGATCCTGAGAGCCATTCTGAGCAAGATGCAGCAAGCGGAGACTCTGAGTGTCATGCAGGTAAGGGGAGCAAAGCTCATCTGTAGCTGTTACTTCACCAACAGGCTATCTTCAACACCTCATTATTCCCCTTCCTCCTCCTCCCCCTCCTGTAGTCTCTGATCATGGTGTTTGCCAACCTGGTGCACTCCCAGCTGGAGCCTCTGTTGGAGTTCCTGTGCAGTCTGCCCGGCCCCACGGGGAAACCGGCCCTGGAGTTTGTCATGACGGAGTGGATGAGCAGGCAGCACCTCTTCTATGGACAGTACGAAGGCAAAGTCAGGTCAGACAACATTCTCATTCATCATTTCTACAACTATTCTCTGACATAATTAACCAACACACATTCAAATTAGTTATTTTAAGTCACACCGATTGATGCACCATCTCATTGGTTGTTTTATAATTTTTTGTCCTGCAGCACGGTGGCTCTCTGTAAGCTCCTTCAGCACGGTCTCAACTCTGACGACAAACGCCTCCAGGACATCGTGGTGAAGGGGGAAGAGATCTACAGCCCTGAAGACGGCATCCGCACACGCTCCAAATCTGCCAAGAGTAAGGAGGCCAATGAGAAAGATCACATGACGTCCACACGGGGATGTTAGCATAGATATATATAAACACTAGATGACTCACCCGCGCTGCTGGCCAATGGAGACCGACGTTGCCACATGGCGGACATCTTGCCACAGGCAGCTCGCTCATTCATAACATTATGTCTATGGTGCACTATTGAAATAACCATAGCTTGCTCAATTTTCCACCAATTTGCAAACGGTTTGGTTTGTTATAAACATCAAATATGTAGTTATGATACTGCATACTTATAATTATAATCATGGACTTTTTTTTTTCAACATGTTTCGTTGTCTCCTGTATCATAGCCATGCTAATAACGTTTATAATAAACCAAACCGTTTGTAAATCAGTCAAGATTTCAGCGAGTTAAGAGTATTTTTGTGCAGATCACTCGCCTTACAACAGCTATAGCAGTAGTTGTTGACTGTGGCAAGATGGCCACCGGTGAGCTACGCTGGCGACTCCCCCTTGAGCCATCTAGCCTTTATAGATTCTATGGATGTTAGGAGATGTACAGCAGTTTTTGTCTTAACACTCATTACTCTTTATTTCTCCCACAACAGACCCAGAGCGCTGGACCAACATTCCTTTGCTAGTGAAAATCTTTAAATTGATCATCAATGAGCTGTCGACGGTCGTGGAGGCAAACTCCAGCAGGACGAACGCAGCCGACTGGAGTCAAGGTGAATACAAATACTACTAATGCTTTGACAATACACACTATTGAGGAGATCAAACCTCTATGCCTATTTCCTGTAATAAATGATTGAGGGAAAGTGATACAATCAAGAATTTCAAACAATAGGTCAATCTTAATGTCAGGACACTTTTAAAGACTGCACTTGATTGTACCCTCTTTTTTTTTCTTTTTTTAACATTGCATTTTTGTATTCAATAGGCAAAAGAGCAACAAATATGGGATAAACTGGAATAATTCCTAAATAACATTTAGTGGATTTTGACTTTCTGTCTCAGTTCAACTTTTGATACAATTAGTTGCAGTGGTTTTTAGCACACTTAGCACGTGAAGCCTTGCTTAAAGATGTCAGAGCTGTGTATTAACCTGTACACTAAAGAGTAGGACAGCAGACATATTTATCACCAGCTGTTGTTTGCTTCAGATTCCAGTGGTATGTGGGAGGAAGATGAAGAGGGCGACGATGATGATGAGGATGAAGGGGTGGCAGGGCAGCTGCTTTCTGATCTCATCGCCTCCAACAAATACGGTACGAGTAACTCGGCAGCTCCTCAGATATTCTGTATCTTGTCTTCAATTTCCCTTCTGATTCATTCTGTTACCTGGGAACTTTGATTCAGATCACTAAGTTTCAGTGGCTGGTTTGTTCCTGTTTTACAGATGATGATTATTACGAGGATGATGATGAGGATGATCCAGATGCCTTGAAGGACCCCATATATCAGATTGATTTGCAGGTACGCAGACTCTTAATCTTTTAGTTCCACGAATGAACAAATAACACCATGCTGGTCAGTCACTTTGGGCAGTGGATGTTATTTTCAGTCTGTCTTGTGCATTAGGTTTAAAATTAGGCTTATTGTGGAACATTAAGGTCTATTGAACTTTGCTCTAAATGCATTCTGGGAAGATCCAACCCTTAAATAGTTGCAGCCACCGACACCATGTATAATAAGAACTGGATACAGCGTGGGAGGCGGGGCCTCGTTCATTCCTATGAGAGTTGCTCAATTTGAGCCTATTAGGCGCTTTCACACCGCAGTACTTTTCCCACAAAGGTTCATCAGAACTTAGTTCTCATGGACTAAGTACAGATCGCGTTCACACCGGAATAAGTCCCTGGGGGAGGATTAGGCAAATGAAGCCACTGACGTCAATTCTTCTTCTTCTTCTTTGGGTTTACTGGCAGGCCGCAAACAACTTCACGGCGTATACTGCCACCCGAAGTCCCCGGAGTTGGGGACTGGCTTCAGTAGACGCTGCTGGGAGTCCCAGCAGCGTCTACTGAAGCCTTCCGAGTAAATCGCCAGAACGCCGACACCTCCTCATCTCCACCGCTCCCATGTTTTCTTTTGTGTTGCCATAAGTTAGTGTTTCTGCGCTGGGCTAATGCTAATGCTAATGCGAGGATAATAAAATGGCGGCTTCACAAAACTTTTTGGGAGTTTTACAGGGCGTGGTTTGCAATCCGCCCAGCCAATCAGACATAGGAACCTTTTTCCCCCCCGAAAGTACCTGCTCTCTAGCAGGGATGGAAAACTGACGGAAAAGGGGATAAAAAGGTTCTCATGAGCCGCGTTCACACCAAGTACTTTGCCGTACTTAGTGCCGACACTTAGTGCCCTGGCACTTATTACCCCATGGAACTAAGTACAGATCGCGTTCACACCGGAATAAGTTCCCTGAGGGAAGATTACGCAAATGAGCCGCTGACGTCACTTCGTCATCTTCTGCTTTGGGTTTACTGGCAGGCCGCAAACAACTTCACGGCGTATACTGCCACCCGGAGTCCCCGGCCGGAAGTCCCCGGCCGGAAGTCCCCGGAGTTAGGGACTGGCTTCAGTAGCAGCTGCTGGGACTCCCAGCAGCTGCTACTGAAGCCTTCAGAGTAAATCGCCAGAACGCCGACACCTCCTCATCTCCACCGCTCCCATGTTTTATTTTGTGTTGCCATAAGTTAGTCTCTCTGCGTTTGTGCACTGGGCGAATGCTAATGCTAATAATGCTAATGCGAGGATAATAAAATGGCGGCTCTACAAAATATTTCAGAGTTTTACGGGGCGTGGTTTGCAATTCGCCCAGCCAATCAGAACTGGGGCACTTTTTTCCCCCAGGAAAGTACCATCTCTCAGCAGGCACTAAAAATGGGGGTAAAAGTTCCCGGCACCAAGTATTCTTTTTGGTGTGAGCGCATGAAGACAAAATGGCCCAACTTTTGAGAGAGCGAAACGTCACGAAAGTATTCATATAATCATATAATCATATAATCTGCTCTTATTGTGCATCCATGGGTAAAGGTAAAACTCATGTAGAACTGAACACGTCACATGAACGTGCCGGGCGGCGAGGTCCCGTGGGTTAGATGCGCGTTCATAATGCCGAGGAAAATAACTCGGCATTTTACAACTTGAGGACCGAATGTTTTTAATAAGGGCTATACAAATGTTCATACTGGGTAGTTTATTTAGTTTAAAAATTACGTCTCTTTCCCCATGTTAGTCAATGGGCCCAGCGACTGATACAGAAGTGTAGTACCGCCGTTTGGCCACAACAAATATTTTCCTCAGAGTCCGTCGCACTTCCTGGGGGCTTGATGGACACCAGCAGCAACAACCCAATGCCAGTTCCACCCTAAAGCTTAGACCCTCACAGGCTTCATCAAAGTTCAATCACCAGGGCTTGAAATGGTATATAATAAAGGGAAAAGGACACACATTATTGTGACATTACACATCTGGAAACAACACATCTCAATTAATAAAAAAACAAAACAAAAAAAGGAAGCCACACCACCAGTTTATATTTAACAATCAGCACTTTGGAACTTTTTTATTTTGCATCTTATTGTCAATATCTTGAGATACCGTAAGACAGATCTTCACAACACCAAGTCTTGCTTTTTAGAGAGGACAACAGACAAACTTATTTCTTTCTTTTAAGTCTTGCATAATATAGTGTTTTTTTTTGTTGCAATATGCCTAGTGTCATGTCATGTAACAAAATTCTACTTTATAAAGAAATAAGTGATGAAAAGTCCAGCATTTAATAGTAGCTAATTTATTTTTATAAACTTGAAAGCGTTCCTCAAGCAGCATGTGACCATGGCTAATATTACCAACCCCTAAGACTTCTCTACAGGAACGGTGACAGAAAGCCCAAACTGTGTGAAGATTGGTATTGGTTTTCTGCCTTAATGGTAAAGCAGATCAGAAGATGCTCCAATTACACAGGGGGTTTTAGGGGGAAATGGGGCCAGCCTGGTCGGATTAGTCTTTAAGGATAAAGCATGCAATTTGTACAACTGATGAATAATTGTTACTTGATTTTCCAGCATTGTCTTTGCATAATGTATTTTTCTAACACTATAATAACAACTGTTGCCCTGCACTGTGTTTGTTCCCAGGCTTACCTGACAGACTTCCTGACTCAGTTCGCCCAGCAGCCGTGTTACAGCATGTTCTCCGGACACCTCACCTCCAGCGAGAGACAAACCCTGCAGTCCATAGGCCTCTAGCCCGAGCTCCTCTTCCATCTGAACTCTCCTAATACTTGTGCGCTTATGATGAATTTAAAACGTATCAATGGAAAGGAGAAATGGAATGAGCGAGGAGGGAAACGGGTTAAAAGAGACGGACAGCACTTACCCATAACTCCTTTTTTCTACGTGCTCACGGGATGAAGGATTTTGCAGATGTTAAAGCGAGGAGGTGAGAGACGTCTGTTCCTGGCGCTACTCAGAGGACTCGTCATTTTAGAGAAACTTCAGACGGACGAGAGGATTGGACAAAAACCTCGAGGCTTCACAGTGGGACAGGTGAAACATGAAATATGAACAGACTATTTTGCCATGTGCTATTTGTAACTTAGCCCATTATTTTTGTCATTTCTGTAAAAAATGCAACATAGAAAATGCTTTCAACAGACTACACTGATTTGAAGGAAGTCAAATGAAAACAAACATTGTGATATTTGGGGGAGGGAGAGAAATATTGGCAGCCTTTTATTCCACAAAAAACGTTCACTGTTTCTGACAGGAAATGAAAAGTTCTTATACCGGCTGTCATGTCTCGGGGTACGATGGGTATTTGGGAAATTCAAACTATTGCCACGGTGATTCGCAGCATTGTCATTTCCTTGTATACCCATTGAAATGTGGGGTGGATAGATTTCTAAATAAAAGTCCAGAAAGGACAATATTTCCAGATTGATGTCCAGATTCCTCTCTTGTCTCCCCGAAATGTGAGAAATACTGAAATATGCAGGTCCTTTTTAATCACGTGTTCAAATAAATCAAAAATTGTAAAATACATGTTATTTACATTTTTCTTTTACCTATTTATGGAAATTGAAAGTGTATTGGTTTACATATTCTGGCTCACTATAAATGCACTGTACAGTTGAAGTTGGTGGTGATTTGTGTTTTATATTTCTTAACCATTTCAGCTCAAATAAAGTATACAGTAAAAATGTAGACATTATAGTGAATTTTATTTAAATAAAACACTTAAAGGTGTGGTAGGTAATTTTGGAGAAATCAGCTCTTGAAAATACACAGCCGGAAGAAATCTGCTACTTCCTTACAGAGCCCCCCCTCCAACACACACGAACGTGCACATGACCAATGAGGGCACAAGATAAGTTTGTGCACAGATGGACGGCTGACAGGCAGGTAGGCCATCCAGTTATTTTAGCCGCGCCGGCTAAAATGATTGGTCGTGCTTTTTACAGTACTACTTCCACAGATGACATTTTTTTTTATGGATTTTTTGTCAAAGCACTTAAGATATTCATTGCTATCGGGATGTTAAGAGCATTCCATGGAATATAACAAAAAGTGTATCTCGAGCCGGTTTCTCAAACTTACCTACCCCACCTTTAAAATGACATGGAAATCTCAAGGTGTTTCAAATAAAGGGGATACATCATAGTACCATGTGAAACTTTGTAAATTACACCAAAGGTCAATTAAATAATAATGTTATTCCAAGAATAATTCATTTTAATAAGCAGTCAATTATAAATTAATTTTACTACATTGACAATACTCAAAGTCCCCTTGTTCGACAATATAGTAAAACACAGTTGTAATCATATAACAAACAACTTTATACGAAAAGTAAAACATTGTGGACCATAACACTACATTACTACACAATAATTGTCCTTTTATGAGCTTACAATTTCATTATAAACTACATTTAATGTTTATATGCTGCTTACGAATGCTAAATAGGGGGGTGTAAAAAGAAAGTACTACTGATTAGGCTGTCATTTCTGCCACAAACTGCAGTCTGCTGCAGAGGTCTAATCAGGCAAAGGGGAAACACCTGTGCCTGGTCTTTAACAGGGTTACCTTGTTTAATGCTCACCCTCCTGACTTTATCATTTTTCGATGCATGGCACATCTGGTCTTACACTATCATACAGCAGGCTCCAGATGTTCCACAAGGGGGAGGTGTTACCCACTGGTTAGTTACTGGTAAACAGACTGGGGGGTACTGTATTAATGAATAAATCGTTAATGGTTACTTAATGAGGAGTTCCTGGGAGACTTTGATTGAAGCAATGGTCCGCTGCAGCAGGGCACTTTTAAACCTGCCAACTTCGGCTGGCTTGGGTCCCACACTGGATCAACTGGTGGAGGTGGATCCGACTCACGTTTTACTGCTTAAGTCATCATTATTTACCTTACCATTACTTAGGCCGTTTGGGTACGGTAAACTCAAGGAACGCAAACAAAAACAGTAGTTACCCATTACCTAATGATTACCTTACCGTTACTAAAACAGTAGTTACCCATTACCTAATGCTTACTTTACCATTCCTTAAGCAGTATGTGTCCCATCAAGTAAAGTAATGCATCAAAAACAGTAGTTACCCATTACCTAATGCTTACTTTACCATTCCTTAAGCAGTATGTGTCCCCTCAAGTAAAGTAATGCATCAAAAACAGTAGTTACCCATTACCTAATGCTTACTTTACCATTCCTTAAGCAGTATGTGTCCCCTCAAGTAAAGTAATGCATCAAAAACAGTAGTTACCCATTACCTAATGCTTACTTTACCATTCCTTAAGCAGTATGTGTCCCCTCAAGTAAAGTAATGCATCAAAAACAGTAGTTACCCATTACCTAATGCTTACTTTACCATTCCTTAACCCTCCTGTTATATTCGTTTTTTGTAACAGCAATAATATTCGTGGGTCAATTTGACCCAGTACATGTTTAATTATCCAAAAATGGTCAGAAGCCCCAAAATCCAGATTTTTTTTTGTACATAGTTTGTACCTTTTATTACTATCAATGAAATCAATATTTAGTGCAATTGTGTTATTCACCTCTCACAGATCATGGTTCCATTAGAATAAGTCACTCGTTTTTCACAAAACATATACATTCAAACACATTTTTCTATTTTATTTTTTACATTGGAAAAACCTTGATATAAAATACATTAGTTTTGCATAACATAACATTTTTTAAATTACTTTTAAAGAACACGCTTGTAGCGGGTTATGGCGTCTTCTGGGGTCAGGACTGAAACAGAAAAAAAGACAAATATTTAACTATTTAACAACAGTCATATGTCACGTGATTTGAAGCAAGCGTCGAAGCTATGACCAGCGCCGTATAGATAGAATTCTAGTGGCTCTGGTGGTGACATGGTTATGTTATGATACAAACAAACGGTGGCATCGATCTGCAATGTTTCCGTTTGAAGCTGTGTGGAAGGCAGTTACCATGACCGCAGGGCTACCTAGCTAACGCTAAAGAGTTCAATTTACAGTAAGTAGAGCCTCATTATAATATATATAAATACAAAAATAATAATATATTAAGTTAAATACCTAAGTTATTTTTGGTGTTATATTAAGTTAAATACTAAATCGGTTTGCTTTATGTATACTCTGTCAGAACAATTGTTTTTCAGCTATTATACATTGTTAAGCTAATTTAGCTTTATTAAGCCAACGGCCTTTATATATACAGTCTATGCCAACGGCTAACGGTACTTATCGTTTATGATACTCAAAATATTCCTTTTTCTAATTATGTTATTACCTTCTCTGGAATCAGTGGTGTCAAGCAACAAAGTAGATTTAATCAAGTACTGTAGGCCTACTTAAAGGTACTTGTACTTTACTTGAGTATTTTTTAATTTGTTTGCTACTTAATACTTCTACTCCACTACATTTCAGGTAAATCGTGTAATTTTACTCCACTACATTCATTTAATACCTTTAGTTACTTTTACAGATTTTGGATTAATGATGTGAAATATAATCAAGTGTTAAATCAGACTTTAGTTCCACCTGGAGTAAATTCACAAGCTACCCTGCAGTATACAAAGTCATTCAAACTAGCTGCACAAAACCAGCTTTGATAACACTTTAATGATCAATCATTATAAAACATATCATATTATTCTGAAATGGACAATCTGCACAATGACTACTTTGGTAGCCTACTTTAACTATATTTTGATACTTATACTTTTCTTCTTTCGTATGAGTAACATTTTGATTGCAGGACTTTGACTTGTAACAGAGTATTCCGACACTGCCTTCCCTTCTGTCTGCCTAGAATTGCCTCAATAGCTTTGAATTGTTACCGTTCTGCAGCTACTGTAATACAGAGGCAGCACAGCCTCAGAGGCTCAGCAATCTCAGGTTTGTCTCACTACAGCTAAGTATCTACTGGAAACAATAACTATAATAATAATAATCTAATGCTTCTTTCAGACATGGATCAAATGGGGCAGAAGATAGATAATCCTCAACAAATACAGAATAACTCAGCTCCCTGTAAACAAAGACAAGACAGTCCTGACCAGAAGACATTCCTAAATGAACAAGGTGGTTGAGAATAAGATCAGAGCATGTTAAATGTTGCAGAGGCATTACTTATGACTGGAAATGATTGCTGACTTCATATTGCAATTGTCTTTCCTCTATCCTCAGAGACTGATAGCGATGACGAACAGTACAATGAACTAAGGAGAAAAGAATATGAGGTAAATGACAGACGCAGCAAGACTTTTGACAAATACCCGAAGGCTAGACCCCATCACCCCTGTTTTAGTCTCTCTTCACTGGCGACCTGTCTGTTTTAGAATTTGTTTTATGATTTCACTGATTACTTTTAAAGCTCTTAACGGGTTGGCTCCTGATTACCTCCCTGACTTGTTGTGCCCATATGAGCCTGTCCGCAGTCTCAGATCCTCTGGTAGGGCTCTGCTGGCTGTTACCAACACCAGGCTAAAAACAAAGAGTGATCGAGCGTTCTCCGTCAGAGCTCCGCAGCTCTGGAACTCCCTGCCCGAGATCTGAGGCTGGCAGAATCAGTGACATCTTTTAAATCACTTTTTTCCATTTTAGTATTGCTGCTATTGTTAAAACGCTGTATACTTTACAGGGTGGTGGGGATTGTATTATTATACCTGCTACACCTGCTGTTCTACTTCTCGCAGCAATGCTCTGTGTGAGAAGATTGGGGGAGGGGGGGGTAGATCAGAGGACGTCTCTGATTGCTGCCGGGGTTTAACTAATGTTTCCATAGAGTGGAGCGAAGCTGTACTGTGCTGGTGTTCCTGCTTACATCACATGCATTGTAGGAGCCATGAATGTCAGAGAGTGGGGGTTTCTGTTGTAAATGTCATAAGGTCTTTGTTTATAATGTTGTTACTTATTACTTTTGGATCAAATATTGGTTGGATGAATTGGCTAACATGGGTATGGGCAGCACTAAGAGTAAATATAATCACCTGTTCACCTGTGTGAGGCGTGTGTGGAAGAGAGGGTGAGAGGCTCGCTATATTTTCTGTTGACAAAATGTAGCGACTTCAAAGTCGCTGAGGTCGGGCCTGGTTGCCTTTGTAAGGCGCGCTATCAAAAATATATGCTGAGATCCAAAAATGTGTTCAACATAATCTCAATTGAATGAAAATGATCAATTTAACATAACGTGTTAATTCTTCCCTGATGACCCCCTCCCTCTCATTAATGAGCTGCAACTCTCTTTTGCCCCTCATCCTTCCATCCACAGGAGTCTCTAAAGACCGGCAGGTCAAAGGCTAAGAAGTTGACGAAAGCCTGTCTTAAAAAGAGGGTACAAGTGAAACTGGTTGAATATGACTTTATAGAAGTGAACTACATCTCTGAACAGTGCCAGAAGAAGTTTGAGGAGACATCCGAGAATGCCAGAATATTGTGAGCAGCAGTGGATTCTCTGTCATTGTAACTTAAGACTGGATACAATATATTGATCTAATGTTGTAATCTTGTCTCCGTTATCAGTTCTGAAAGACACGGCAAGGTTAAACAGGAGAAGTGTTCTACAAATGAGGAGTTAACTGATCAAATAAGGACTAATAAAAGGTAGGCTTATGCTAACATTGTTCATTTAACATAAATACAGTATGTGTACATCTGCCCCACGCTAACTGTATGTGAACATATGCCCAGTGGAGGAAGAAGTATTCAGATGCTTTACTTCAGTAAAAGTACCAATACATTTTTGTCAAAATACTTCTTTACGAGTAAAAGTCTTGCATTCAAAGTCTTACTTAAGTAAATGTATTCTCAGCTAAATGTACTTACATTTTAAAAGTAATTATAGTGCAGAAGAATTGCCTTAATGTGTGTATATAATGATATTTATACATGTCTAGATAATATTGTTGCATCAAGGAGTATTTTACTGTTGTAGACAAACATAGACATGTAGATTTAGTTTTTGTTTATTATTTAAATAATTTGACTCTTTTGTGACTTAAAGAGTAAGTCCACTAGATACCTTTTTAGAGATGCATTTTGTTAAAAGCAGCTAAAGCTTTTCAATAAATGTAGTGGAGTAAAAGTACAATATTTCCCTTTGAATTGTAGTGGGGTAGAAGTACAAAGTAGCAACAAATTGAAATACTCAAGTAAAGTACAAGTGTCGCAAAATGATTCTTTAGTACAGTACTTGAGTAAAGTGACTTTCCACCTCTGCCCATGGTGTATATGCAAACAGATATGAACCATTAGGTGCTTGGAAAAGGTTTTATAAATAAACGAGCTGTTTCAGACATACTCATCTGCAATGAACATGGATCCAAACGTACTCTTTCTTCTTCACAGGGAGCCTCCCATGTTTGATGAGATCCGGCCTGAATATAACAGATACCTGAACATCCTGTTGAAGCGGCCGCCTTCAGAGTGGCAGGAGGCTCTGAGAACTACAGACCTCAGAGAGCCAGCAAGGGTGCAGGGTAAAGTGTTACAACTAAGTGAATCAACATCAGTTACAATATGAATGTATTATTTAAGGTATACATTTTTTTAAATCCCCTGACTTTGGTTTGAAATCATCCCTGATCACAGACTCGGAGGGAGGTCTGGACTCCAGTGCAGGTGGAGTCCTCCCCCCCCCCCACACTGACACGCTGTAAGGACACATCAACGCTCACATCCACCACAATCACCGCCGCAAGTGTTGGTCTAACTCATATACTGTGGTTCAGTGTTTCATTCTCAAAGATTTCAAAGGCTTTATTGTTATATACACAGAAGCTACAGTGTAGATATGGCAAGGACAATCTTAAGTGCCAAGGAAATAAGTATTTGATCCCTTGCAGATTTTGTAAGTTTGCCAACCTACAAAGAAATTAACAGTCTATGATTTTAATGGTAGGTTTATTTGACTAATGAGAGAAAGAAATTGACATTATATAAAAGATAACGTTTGATCCCCTTGCAGAACATGTGTCAGTACTTGGTGGAGAAACCCTTGTTGGACACACACAGAGGTCAGCCGCTTCTTGTAGTTGGTCTGCAGGTTTGTGCACATCTCAGGAAGGATGTTGGTCCACTCCTCTCTGAGGATCCTCTCCAAATCCTGCAGGTTTTGAGGCTGATGCTTGGCCTCTGGAAGCTTCAGCTCCCTCCACAGATTTTGTGTGCTTCTTCTTTAGCCACTCCTGTGTTGCCTTGGCCGTATGTTCAGGGTCATTGTCCTGCTGGAAGACCCCTCCATGACCCATTTTCAGAGTCCTGGCTGAGGGAAGGAGGCTATCGGCCAAGATTCTACGGTGCATGTCCCCGTACATCCTCTCCTCGATGCAGGGAAGTCCTCCTGTCCCCTTAGCAGAGAAACACCCCCAAAGCATAATGTTTCCACCTCCATGCCTGACGGGGGGGGATGGTGTTCTGGGGTTATAGTCAGCATCTCCTCCTCCAAACACGGCATGTCGAGTTGATGCCAAAGATCTCGATGTTGGTCTCATCTGACCACAACACCTTCTCCCAAGCCTTCTCTGAATCATTCAGATGTTCATTGTCAATCTTCAGACGGGCCTCTCATGTTCTTCTTGAGCAGGGGGGGGGGGGGGGGGGGGGGCTTCAGGCGCTGCAGGATTTGATCCATTATGGTGTAGTGTGTTCCCAATAGTTTTCTTGGTGACTGTGATCCCAGCTGCCTTGAGATCATTAACAAGTTCCTCCTGTGTAGTTCTGGGCTGATCCCTCACCTTTCTCATGATCATCAATACCCCACGGGGCCAGATCTTGTGTGGAGCCCCCAGACCGAGGGCGACTGATGCTCATTTTGTGTTTCTTCCATTTCTGAATAATGGCACCAACAGTTGTCTCATTCTCACCACGCTGCTTTCTGATGGTCTTGTAGCCAGTCCCAGCCTTGTGCAGGTCTACAATCCTGTCCCTGAGGTCCTTAGACAGCTCTTTAGTCTTGCCCCTGGTGGAGAGGTTGGAATCTGATTGATTGATTCTGTGGACAGGTGTCTTTTATTCAGGTAACTAGTTGATGTTAGGAGTACTTTCCTAAAGGAAGAGGACTTATGTAACCGGTCTGTGGGAGCCAGAATTCTTGTTGGTTGCAAGGGGAACAAATACTTATTTCACACAATTAAATGCAAATACATTTGTATCTTTTATATAATGTAAATTTCTCGATTTCTTTTGTATATTCTTACAAATATTTTGTATATTAATTTCTCTGTAAGTGGGCAAACTTACAAAGTCTGCAAGGGATCAAATACTTATTTCCTATATAAAACCAAGTAAATGCACGAGACATGTAAATAGAATAAGATAGACAAGTAAAGACATTCAAATTAAATATTGTACAGTGAAATCAAATCAAATGTATTGTTTATTGTAGTGATATATAATAAAATAAATAAATGGTCAGATGCAAACAGATGAATGCTTTAGGTTATGAAGGCACTTCACAGGGCTCGGGTGCATCTCAATCTGTCTCCAGCACAAACCCTGTCTTTGGCATTGCAGGGTCACGGATGGTAACGTGGATGGCGACAGCTCCCAATCTGAGGTCAGTTTTCCTGCTGCTCTACCTCATTGTGTCTTCAGTGTTTATTTGCAAATGTTCACAGTGTACCCCCCCCCCCTGCAGGAACATGTCGTCTCCTCTGAACCCCACCAGATACTGGACCTGGTGACAGAGTTTACAGATCAGGTCTTGTCACTGACTCGCATCTCAAACTGGGTGGATGAGCCACTGAAGGAGCTCGTGCAGGACATAGAGACCACCTCTAGGAAAATGTAAGCATGATTTATCCTGAGGTTAGTTTGACTCTAGAAAGGAATAGCCCTAAATAATATGCAGAGGCTAAAGCATTAGATAGATGGATATATGGATATATGGATGTATGGACGGGGGGAGGAGGGCGGGCAGACCCAGGTGGATGGACGGATGGACGGGTGGGTGGATGAATACTTTATTCATCCCAAATTGTTATCATGCATTCGACAAGTTACAAATGTAAAAAAGATAGAATAAGATACAAATCAAATTAAAAGTGACACTAGCAGCAAGTATATACAAATTCACAATAGAAAGGACATATATCACTAGAGTATTTAAATAATACACAATATAACGAAAATATAGAATACATTGAATACTTTAAAGTCTACAATATACAATCTCCCTAAGCTACAGAAATATATAGAAATGTACTACAGACACTTATTGGCATAGTATTATATATTAATTACAACTGTGCAAAGCAGCTGTTGTGCAAATTGTTGTGGGTTATAGAAAAAGAGACAGGTGCACTCCCAAGTACCTGTAGTCCTTCCCCATAACAACATCCTCTCCCAGAATGCACAGGGGCTGTTGAAACATCCTCTTCCTTCTGAAGTCAATGAGCTTTAACAAAAGACAACAAACTAAAGGTATTATTAAGACAAAAAAGAGGCATGGACAATACAAAAACATGTAAAGTAAAAAACGGGACTAAGGGAACATAAAAAACCCACAAACCAACCAATACAATTGAAAAAGATCAAATACGGACTTCCGGGGACGCCATGTTCTGAGACACATGTCGGGTGTTCCCAGGACTGAGATGACAGTCAATGCTCAGATAATAAGGTTCAATATCTTAGTGTAACTTTTCATAAGATCAAGAAATTATAATTCCTATTCCGTTGTGAGGGATGTGAAGCAGCCAATCACACTGAGTAACAGTTATGATTTTGTTTATCAGTAAATAAGTGTTTGGGCGAGGGTAATAATCGCCTCTCCTCTATTACTAAGGCTGGAGCCACACGAGGACGATAACGCAAACGGACCAAAATCGATATCAAAAAAGTCTTCCGTCCACACGCAACAGGCACCAGAAACGTGTCCGTTCACACGAGACCGCTCCAAAGCGCTGGAGACGCTGTAGTACATATGCTGGGCCTGTAAGTGTCGCTGTACTCCTGCCGCAAAAGCAGCGAAGAAGACTTCCCGCGCATGGTTGCCATGGTTGCCCTTCTGTTTATTCTCCGCTGTGGACGCTCTGGCACTTTTTCTCCCGCCCCGAGGCAAGCGTTTGCTCCTGCTGCTGTAAATCTCTCCGGTAGTCCACCAGCAGATGACAAACACCCACCTCTCCGCCTCTTCCAAGGGACGAGGGGACCGTGCGGCAGTTAGAGTTTCAGTTCGATTTTTTTTTCGCCGGTCAGCATGTCCGTTAAAGTTGAAATCTTCCGGACAAAATTAGAAAAGTGCCGGTCAAAGGTCTTCTTTGTTATTTATTGAGCTTTAAAACAAATTGATAACGACTCTATATAATAATATAAGAATAAAAAACGGAGCCTCTCTTTTCCTCCCCCTCTTCTGACAGCCCAGCAGCTGATCTCTGAGCAGGAGAGGTGGGGAGAGGCGGGGCTATTGCTTCAACATTATCAGGAAATTATCGTATAGGCGTAAACACGGAGCCGTTTGCCCCCCCAGAGCGTTTAGTTCGTCGAATATTCGAATATACATTTGCTTTCAAATTCCCATCCCTATCTTATATCCATGACATGTTTGTGAATTCTGCACATGTGTGTGATGCAATTATAAAGGGGGTTACACACAGAGTCTTTTTGAGAAGGAACAAACTCAAAGGGCGCTACAACTCAAGATGGAGATGTATTGAGAGGAGTGGTCGCCTGTTATAAGGTATATAGCAAAGTGAACATATTTTAGACATTACATTGGACATTTTGGAATAGTAAAATAAGACATACAGAGAGGTTAATAATCCTTAACCTCTTTGTATGTCTAATACTTTTGTATTGAGAAATATTATTTTATATTGTACTTTTTTATTTTTAAACAGTATTATTCGCATCTTTATGTTTGAAAAATCTCACTGGTCACCGGCTTGAGCTTCAATCTCAGGATCCATGTATTTGTGATCCTCTCAAGAATGGAAGTAGTCATCACATACAGAGCATCAACTAGTTCCTGAACAGTGTCCTTCACATGCTGATATCCAAGAGAGGGAGTTACACAGTCACAAGATGGAGGAATATAAAGCAGTCTTCAATGTTTACTTCAGATTAGCTCCACGTCAGAAATGATCATGCTTGTCATATGTCTATCTCCATAGAGGCTGAATCATCATGTTAATCACATAGCTATCATATGCCTCAAACAGTCCTGATGCTCTTCTAGGTAATCATACATCCTGTCATGTACACAGCTACAGTTGGGATACCTTTGTTATCATGTGGACTCTCATATTGGAAGAGGACATTCAGTATTTTCCCAACACTTTACCATGTTGTGTGAGACTGGCTGTCAAGGAACTTGTTTTAATAAATGTTCAAAAGAAAAACATGAAGTGCTAGATACTAAGCTGTGACCAGCATGTGATAATAAACTGATGAATGTCTCTCTCCCCTGTGTGTGTGCAGGGAAGAGGATGATAAGAAACTTACGCTGCAGCTGGGCGAGATGAAGGACAGGATCGTCAGCGACCAGGAGAGAGCCGCCACGCTCAAAAAGAAGGTTCAGCTCCACGACTCGTTAAAAACAGAGGACCACGTAAGGAAGCCCAGTGTACTGTACTGTACGTTAGATACAGCAGAGTAGAACTCTGAAGGATGCACTTTCATTTGATTTAACCTGCAATTTAAAAAGCAAGAAATCATCTAAAGTGGTATCTTATCTCACCGCAGCACACATTCCAGCAGACTCTGGGACAGTTTCACCCCACAGGCCATTAGACTGCTACCACTTCATACAATCAATCTGTTTGCATCTGAAATATTGATCTATTATTACAATAAACAGTATTTTATTTCACTGTACAGAATGTAATATTACATTCTATCTTTAGCTCATCTTATTTGATTTGACTTATAGTTAACTTCTCCTGCATTACTTGCACATTAGTCTTGCAACATTCTCTTGCACTATTTTATTTATTCTCTGTTCCTTCCTGCACTACTTTTTATTGTTCTTGTTTTGTTTTGTTTTATGTTGCATTGTTCGAGGAGCCTGTGACTTTAAGGTCGCCTATTATTCAAAATCCACGTGTTCATGTCTTTTATACATACACATGTGTCCCCTCTGTGTTAAGAGACTCAGAACGTTTCAGGAACAAAGATTCGCTCTCTTTCTGTCCTGATCCATCCATATCAAAAAGTAAAAATATGAAAAAAGGCTTTGCAGAGAGGTGTGGCCTGCAGCATCTCATTGAGATGTTTTATATGTGTTTCTGTCTGTTCCCTACCTACAGGATACGATGTCGGATGCTCTGGGTGTGAAGATAACTGAAGTGCATCGCTGCTGCGTGGACTCCCGTATGACCTACCTCAGCACCTTGGAGAAGCTGGCCAGTGTTGAATACCGTATATCTTTACTGTTCCAGTTCTTGGAGAGCATCCCTAAAGAGAACCTGAAGACACTGAGGCTGATCAAGGACAACGATAGGAGGGGCAGGTCTGTGTTTATGAGCCTGGAGTTAAAGGTGGATCCCAGTGGTGTTTAGATCAATATATTGTGGATCACAGTATTTATGCTTTGAATGAGAGAGTGTATGAGGGGTCATATATTTCACCCAACATGTACATAATCCTTTGTTTCCTTTTCTGAGTGTTTTACTATTTGCACTAGACGTATTCACATATGTTGTAAATGGAAATGATATGACTTTAAACCTTTTAAAATGGTGTGTTTTTATTCACTGCAGTTGATATGATTAGTGTAGTTGCCAGCAATGTGAACCTGGACATTTCTGACATTGTCAGGATCAAAAATAGCAGTTTTAACCAGAAGGTGGCAATATTTGTACTCTCTGTGACAGGCTGGTTATGATCCCTACTGCAGACAATTTATCTTCAAAATATGCAATCTGTCCTATCCAAATGATCCAGAGTCCCCTAAATCTTCTAAACCCACCCAAAATTAATCAAATCAGCCCACAGAGAGTACAAAGATTGGCATTTTCTGGTTAAAACTGCCATTTTTGATCCTGAAAATGATCCAGAAATGGACTCCTCAATAACCCCCAAAACCACTCAGAAATTGTCCAAATCTGCCCATTTTTTAACTAGTGTCTGTACTAAAGTTAGCATCCGGCAGTTTGTATGTGCTGGGGACCCGTACTATACATTTCTTACAGAAAACGTTGTGGTACTCAATATTTATGGGTTCACAATAGGACTCTATGATGTGGCAACTAGACTAATAACAGAAAGTGCAGAGAAAAATGGGAAGACTTTGCAAATGAGCTTTTTTTAGTGTCATATGTTGCAGGCCAATCACTAAAGTAAATGGTTTATTAACAACGTGGAGAGAGGTGCGGTTGTGTGATGAGCTCTGTTAGGTTAAACCTTCTTCTCTTGTACTGCATGTTCCAGGCTGCGTGAGGAGCAGCTGAGACTGGAGAAGGAGAAGCACTTAGAAATGCTGAAGAAGTGCAAGCTAAGATCTATGGATGGAAGCAAGAAAAAAGTGAGTCTTCTCTCCAACAGGAATAATGCCATATTGGAAACATTATACCACACATTTTAATTGAATGCAATTAATCAGGATCCTCCTCCACTATAAGATGTATTTCTATAGTACTTCTCATACACCAGGCGCAGCTCAAAGTGCTTTAAACACAAGGCACACATCACAATTTAAAGCAGAGAAAGAGAATTTCACATCAGGCCAGACGTTAGAGCCCTTTAGCACATATGCCGCATAGCAACATGATATAATAGTTCAACACTTTAAGGGACACACGAGGTAAAAGGTATATTAATACAAAATAAATAATAATTTCATCAATATGATCCCTCGGTAAAATAAAGGAAGACAAAACCAATAAATACGATAAAATATAAAAACCTATAAAATAAATTAATTAATAAAACAATAAAAATAATATAATACATGTATAAAACTTGGCATCAGGTACGATTTGGGAAAAATCAGCTTGAGTACATTACAGCAACAAAAAGTTAATGTTACTTTAAAAAATACATTTTGAACAGTTTGAACTTTATCCTTTTTTCTCCAGCCTAGAAGAAAGCTCATGCCCAGGTGCTTCCCTGTTGAGCAGAAGATCAGAGTCAGTGAGGAGGACAACCTACCTGCCGAGGAAGAACTCCATGCCTTCCTCTTCACCACTGAGGACGACGAGTAGAAAATAAATCAACACATGCCATGAAAAGCCAAACATGTAGAAATATGTGTGTCCAAAAGGAATGGTAGCCTACTGAAATATTGCCACACAAAATGTGCTTAGTTGCTGCTTAGTTACTGAGGAACTACTAGATAGTTAATGGTTAGTTAATGAGTAGTTCCTCAGGGACTGCGATTGAGGAACTGATGGTTAGTTACTGGTAAACAGACTGGGGGGTACTGTATTAACGAATCATTCGTTAATGGTTACTTAATGAGGAGTTCCTGGGAGACTTTGATTGAAGCAATGGTCCGCTGCAGCAGGGCACTTTTAAACCTGCCATCTTCGGCTGGCTTGGGTCCCACACTGGATCAACTGGTGGAGGTGGATCCGACTCACGTTTTACTGCTTAAGTCATCATTATTTACCTTACCATTACTTAGGCCGTTTGGGTACGGTAAACTCAAGGAACGCAAACAAAAACAGTAGTTACCCATTACCTAATGATTACCTTTGTGTTCATCATTAATCCTTAAAACAGAAATGTGCTTACTTTAGCCTAAAAGCCTTAAAGGCTGATTTGAATTGTCGTTGTGCATTTATATTTTACAGTCAACCTAAACTTTGACCGATGATACCCAACTATATTTCTTTATCTTTTTATTTAACTTATTTTATATTTATTTATGATGTTTAATTTACCAACACAGAACTTGTCTTTAGTAGTTTTTCTCCCTTTATGACGAGGTTTTTTGTAAGTGCATGTTAAGGTCAAAATCCTCTTCGTTTTGGGAGGGATGGAGAAAACTGACCTCAAGGTGCATTCAATGCTGCTCGTAAACATATTTGATAATAAGGACCATTCTTAAAAGTATCTCAATATAATGACTTTTTGATATTGAAATAATAACATAGTCCAAAACAATGAGAACATATGTCAATAAATTAATGCTTAGCATCTCAAAAGAATGACCTCGTTTCTCAATATAATGACTTAATTATGTCCAAATGGTTGTTCAAAATGACAAACAAGCGTTCTCAAAATGATGACTTATTAGAATTTCATTTCTTTTTTAGATAAGTCATTATTCGAGATACTTCATGCTATGTTAGTTTGTCATTTGATGACTTACAGGATGTATTTCATCTTATTAATGGTCTCTCATAATGGGCTTCTTAATGGAGATTTCTCTCCGACGGTTCACGCAGCACGTAAAGGCATCACCCTGCTCTCTGGGCTGCACGGCGTCACTGCGATGTGTCATCTCGACGGATAAATTACCGCTACTCCTCTATGCTGTTCCGAAGCCTAGACAATGTCTGCAAACGACCGTTAGTCGGGTTATTATTGTTAATTACACCTGTTCTTCACAATATCCCTCTCTTGGTGTTGAATTAGGAGGATGTTTGCAGCGGGCAACATGTCGCTCATGGCGGCGGGTTTGGCGCTGCTCACCGTGGTCCTCTGCTCTTCTCACGGTAAGATTACGGATCACCGTGCAGGCCGCTCGGCTAGCTAACAACGTCTGCTCCGCGCGCCGTTATTAATGCAGCAGCCGAATGCTGCGGTCCGGCTGTTTACTTCCAAACCTCGAGGTTTATGTGAGGCCTGGATAACTGTTCCACTGTCCGTCCACATTATGTTGGCACCCATTAGTTCAGTCCCCTGTGAACTACTGCTGTTCATGCGTTTGTTTATCCAAAGTATGTGCGAGCTTTCTGGGAGTTTTTATACCTAAATGGCAAATAATATTGATTGTTCGCTCTCTAATATTGATAACATTACGGCTAGTGTAGTAACGTAGTAAGTATCCCTGTAAAACAAATCATAAATAACCCAATGCTTAAGAAATTAGTGTCACATTTATGAAAATATGTATCTCTGGCAGTTCTAGCTACTTTATTGCATTAGTTTTGTGTCTTTTGCAATACAGAACATTTTCTTAAATTGCTTTGTTTGTTTTTATTATTTCATGCATTCTTTTTTTTCATTGATATTATTGGTTGCCAGTGGTGTAAAGTAACTAACTAACTAACTTCTGAGGGACCTGTACTTTACTTGAGTATTTCAATGTTTTGCTACTTTGTACTTCAACCCCACTACCATTCAGAGGTCAATTGTTTACTTTTGCTCCACTAAATACATTTAATACCTTGAGTTACTTTGCAGATTTAGAAATAAGATTTGACATATAATCAACACTTAAAAGACCTTGAGCAAAATGTACAAGCTACCCTGCAGTATACAAAATAATACAAATTAGCTGCTCATGTACAAACTTTGATAACAACTTTAATGCATCAATAATTATGATCAAAATATACAATATATACTATTCTAAAAATGGGCCAATCTGCATAATGATTATTTTTACTGTTGGTACTTTAAGTATAATTTGATCCTGATACTTTTGTACTTTTACACAAGTAACATTTTGAATGCAGGACTTTTACTTGTAACAGAGTATTCCTACACTCTGGTACTTCCACTGTTACTTAAGTTCAAGATCTGAGTACTTCTTCCACCTCTGGACAAACTCTTGATACAAAAAAACAGTTAAATAAATATAGATTTATTCACAAAATAAATTATATTATTAGGAGGCATATCTTTTGAGTATTGCTTATCGATATTTAAGCTTTCCTTAAAATATGCAATATGCAGTTACAATAATATCATATTAAATTGTAATTGTGCATTAATTAATTAATTAATTCATGTTAAGCAAAGATTAATATTAAGTGTAAACAACCAGACAATAATAGTTCTACACAATAAAATATGTTGTAATATCAGTGCTTAAGCTTAAATGACAGAATAAGTCATCTCCATGCCAGCCCTCCAAAGGTCTCTGTCCAAAAGTCTAAACCGTTTCAGGTGCCAGTATAAATAGATAGAGGCTCAACAAAGTATTGCAGACGACCTCTAGCAAAGTTTCCATCAGTTTTATACACACAGAGAAATCAACAAAGGAACAGCAGCTCTCTGTGAATACTGTTTAGTAACTAAATAAAGTTTAGTTTACAGTATTCAGTCAGTTTGTATAGTCAAGGACGCTTTATGTATACCATTGCTCACACAGACGTAAGAAAAGTTGTGTAAAATGAACAATTAGGTGCGACTTTTAGCAACCTTCCACTAATGTGGCTGTGAGCGGGCTGTCATTTGAAGTGCCTGAAATGCTATGTTGTGAAAAACATAATCATACCAGTTCCTTTCAACTCAATGTATGACTTGCTATGTGTTTATTCTTATGAAACACAATATGCCAAATGTATCTCAGTCAGTCAGCAAGCCTTTGTGCCACAGGAATATAACTCCACAGATCATAGTTTTGATTCAGGGCAGTGTTGTTATAGACCAAATGATCAAAGAAAATATTCCTTGGTTGCAGTAGAACAATAAAAAAATGATTATCTTTTATTATTCAACTTATAACTTTTCAACTCCTGCCACAGTGAACTAATGAATGATGTATTATGACTGTATTTAGCCTGGAACCATTCGACTGTAAAGAAAGAAAAGAGCTCGTACACCGTCAATATAAATATTTATTTTCTCCTCAAGGCAGAACAAAGCAGTATCTGTACAGTAAGTGAAAGAATATCCTCACTTTGCAAATGTGCGATAAAACAACAGCATGTTGGTAAAACTGAGAGAAAGTGAGAGATCAAAAAGAGGACAATACATTCTCCAGAGGACAAGCTGAAGTCTGAGCTACCTTGTGTCTTTTTGATCATCGTGATCTTCCCTGTAATGTCCTCCCGCCTGACACTTGTGACATCTGTTTTGCAGTCAGTGCGAATGAGGACTGTCTGTGGTACGTGGATAAGAACGGCACCTGGCACAACGGCTTCGACTGCCCTCTCATCACGTTCTGCTGCGGGAACTGCCACCGACGCTACTGCTGCCTGGACGCCTTCAAGATGATCACAGAGAGGGAGCAGAAACGCTGCATGCTCTTCCAGTTCAGGTGGGCAGCGGGCAGGGTTTTAAATTAACGACTTGTTTTTTTATTTTCTCCACACCAAGAGTCACTGGGTGTTTCTCAATGTCGAGGAGGCTTGCTTGGTAGCACATGTCTTCTGAGTCACTTGCTTCAGAAGCGAGGCAAGAATCCTTCCTAGCCTCGGAAAACAAAGAATTGTGGAACAGGTGTGCAGGTGTGCGTCATATGCGAGGCCCCGCCTTAAATGGAGCGCGATTTCCGCCAAAGATTTGGAAATTGGTCCGTGCGCAAAGCATTGTGGGGATTTTAAGACCGCGGAGTCTACACATGTGCAACCTCTACATTTCTCGCTACGAAGTACGCCGGCCTCGGTAGAATTCCAAGTATGCTGGACATTGGAACAGTCCTTCGGCAACACCCACTGTCTGTGTTCACAATTCAAGGCCATCACTGCAGGATCCGATATCTTCTCTTTTCTCAAGGCAGAGAGATGTTTGGACATCCTGCTAGAGGACATTTGCTGCCACAGTCTGCACGATCAGATATGTGCTCCAACATCTATAAACATAAATCTATACAAAGTACACACTGTACTGACAATAAAGTCTGACCAAGATAAAGTAGGGATAGGCATCGAGAGCAGGTTCCAATTGTCGGATGATCACTATTGTTTGTTTTTCAATTCCTGTGATTGATGCAGGCATGTTTTGGCATAAGGTCTCATTAGTCATGACGTCTAAATGCTGTAAATTTGCAACAACAAGGAGCTTCCATTAAATACCAAAACAAATGTCTGCCACCATTGCAAGCATGTAGCAACATTAGATCAATTTCTAATCCAAGCATGGAACATTGAAGTATCAAAGGTGCAAACGTTACTAAAGGATATATGGAAAAAACTGTATGTTATGAGCATCTATATGCAGTATGGAGACAAAAAACAATATATCCCCATAATAGATATTCAAATTAAGACACAGGTATTCCAAAACAGAGTGTTAAGTCATTTATAATTTGCGAAAACTAGTTTTAAAAAAATGGGTTGACTGTCCAGTGTGTGCAGATAGCAGTGTTAATAATGTTGTAAATGTTAACTGTAAAGAGTTGCATATCAGTACTGGATAATCATCATGGGATTTGAGTCGGAAGGAGAATTGACGGCATTATTTAAACAAATATAGAAAATATTTTCCAGCATCACCCTGCATTGTGCAGATCTGCCATCATTAAAGTCACTTTTGCTCATGTCCCACTGACTGCATTTGACTTTAATTGCCCTGCGCTTGTCCCCACAGTGTAATATGTTCTCATTAGTTGTTCTATCACACCGAACCTCCCGTGGGGGGATCGTTATAGTTCTGGACTAAGCTATCTCGTACCTGAGAGAATGCAACATGGCACTTTCCACCACAGCATCCATCACTATCTGGCAGCGAGCAGACAACCTGCAGCTTATTAAATCTGGAGGGAGATCAGAGCAGCGGGCGGAGGAGGCTGGGCTGAAAATGGAGGGCTTTGTAGCTTCACTGAGACCATGCCGAGATGGAGAGATGCGTGGTGTACGGCATTAACTCGGGTGTGATTTCAGGGTCAGCCGGTGGTTAACGTGGTGTCTGAATCAAAGGCTTCACATCTCCACTTTAATCCTCCACACGAGGCTTGGTGATGAAAGTTAAGCTGCTTTAAGTCCTCCTTTGTCTCTCCTCAGCCCCACTACTTTAGCCGGCATCGCCTCCTCCATCCTCCTGTTTGTGGCCATCATCGCCACCATGGTATGCTGCTTCATGTGCTCCTGCTGCTACCTCTACCAGAGGAGGCAGCTGAGGGGCAGGACGCCCTACGATGGTGAGACCCCTCCTCTTAATGATGTCCTTCTTTTATATATACCATTAGTTTCCCTTTATGACAGTCTGTCCTTTTTTGACCCACAGCCCAGCACATCCCCATGGCCAGCTATCCAGTGGAGCCGATGTATGATGCTTACGGGAAACCCCTGGGACCCTCTCAGTATCTACATGCAGGGTATCCAATGGCGCCCCACTACCCCGGCATGCCCCCACACTACCCTATGATGCCGCCTGGACACTATCCCCCACACATGATGGATCCTACATACGGCCAGGGTAAGAGTGACTTCACATATGGAGCTGCAACGATAAGTCAATTGAAAGGAAAAATAACCTATTACCATTTTAAATATCGATAAATCATCAAAAATATTCATGTGAAAGTGCTGCCTCTTAAATCTGAAGATTTCTTGCTTTTCTCTGTTTTAAATCATATTAAACTGAATAACTACATTATGGGTTGTGGATTGACAAAACAAGACATTCGGAAAGACAAAAGACTTCTGAAACTTTAATCTATATTGAATCAGCATATGTATCGATAATGAAAAAGAAAAATGTGTTAGAAATTATTTTTATTTACAATTACATTCTTTGCATATAAATAAATGCTAACAAAAACTGTGCATTTATACTGTACAAAATCCAAATGGTGTCACCTACTTTTGGGAAATTGGATCTATTCATGAAAAATGATCATAGAATATGACACCACTCCTGCTCAAGCCAATATACACGGGGAGAAAGACAATGAGTGCTTCTTCTAACAGCCACAGTAAACATGCCAAGGTTAAAAAGCTACATTTTGATGCAAGACATCTCACGACTTAAGAGGCAGATTGAAATGTGCACATTTGATGCTACCAATTAATGACTTCATTGTTTTTAACGTAGTCATAGCAGTACATGAAGATCTGACTTTCTCTATGTTTGTTTTTCAGCCCCTCCACCTTACTCTCCACCTCAGTATCCTGGTCATTGATGGGCTCAACTACCCACACACACACACACACACACACTCACACACAACACACACAAGAGTGGGAAACAACAGCAATTGAGAAAAAAGGACTGTTTGAAAATAAAAAGGCAGCAACAATCTCGCACTCAAACACACTCGCATACACACGCACAAACACACACTCAAATTAACACTACAGCTCGACCAGCAGCTGGCACTTTAAGTTAGTGTTTTTCTATGTATATTTACAATGTTGTCCTACTTTTCTGGAGTGTTTACGCAAGTCAAAATCTGGTCAGCATCCTGGCGACCAATTGTTCCTGTCAGTTTTGTGGAGGCCGTCACACTCTCCCTCAAAGTGACTCTGTGCTGCCACTCTGTGCTCTGGAACGCTCACCTCAATGACAGGATTTCGTCTGAAGACAGGTATCATTACCTTACAGGAGAGGGGTCAGAAGGAATTTCCTAAAAACTATAACGCACTTCCTCTTTAGTTTTTAGAGGAAAGAGTGATTTAGTTTGTCACTTTTGATACATTTGAATCAATGAAAAACTGCCTGAAGCTACATTCCAGGTCAAACACTCCACAAATATGATTACATGATGTATTTATTTCTGCGTTTGATGTTTTTTTCCCCCCTGTAATGTGATAGGGGCAGAAAGGAAAACCAAACTACATGTTTGAGAAAAGGGTGACATGTATGGCTCAAAAAGGCAGAGTGATCCTGTCTTAGATGTGCAGAAGGACTTTAAGGTACTCCTTATTCCATGAATGAAGCCTTTAGTCGTCTTTTGTTTGAACTTTTCTTCTTCTTTGTATCTGACTTGACTAATTTACGTCATGGTGGTATATTAGCTGCACCATATAGAGTAACATCTCGACATCAGCATGCTACCCCAGTCAAAGTGATCTGTCCTCTCATGCTTCTCTTCTGGTTTTAAATGGATTAGAAGTCTTTAGATTAATCCCATAATGCCAGGTAGGATGTTTTCCAGTGATTTCATGTTAAATGTTCATTTTTTTGTAACATATCGGGTCAAGGGAGTTGCAGGTCTATGCTGCTCAGTTAAAACAAATGTTCCCACTACATTAAATAAGCATAACGAGCAAAAAACGGATTAACATTTAAAATCTTATTTTGTAAATATTTTCTTCAGCTGAATATGTTATGATATTCTAATATATTAAATATTATAGTTATTTTAATAATAATGGTAAATCCTAACATAAAATACGACATCTTCACATTTTTCCATTTGGTATTTATTATAATAATTGAGTGTACTTTTTTACTGTGAATGGGTTCTCACCTTGTGGACTAGCTACAAAGCCAAACATCTGTTCTGCTAAAAAAGTCTATTTTATTGATCACCTCTCTTTAAAATTATAGTTTGACATTTTGGGAATACGTCTGGGATATCTTAGAATCCTTAGAAAGCAGTAATTTTAACAATGAAGTGATAGAATGGATTTAAACTGCAGTTATCTCTATATATATATTATTCTTGTAAAAAAAAGATTTCAGATATCAACAATCTCATTCTTCCTAAATATAAAACTATGTCACATTTGCCAGTCATAATTGGGCAACTTTTATGATTTATAGAATGAACATTTATAAACATGATTTCAGATATGAACAATTGGAATTGTTCCTCATCATAATTGTAATATCAAATCCATAATGTAATTAAGAAAATCAAGAAATCGCTTGGTAATTATTTTATTTCAAACTTATTATCTGGGCAAAGCTAACTGCTAAGCTAACTTTTAGAGCTACAGTTACCACACAGACGTGAATGGTGGTATCAGTCTTCTGATCTGGGGGTCAACAAAAAGAAAGCAGATAGGTGTGTCTCCCAAAATGTCAAACTTCTTTTTAATTCACACTTACAGACGTGGGCTCATGTGAGGTCAGGGCCTGTAACCTGTAATGATTCTGTAATTGGGTTTAGCATCGTGCTCAGCCCTGTTCCCTTTGTAAGATGTGTGAGCTGTGAAACATGGAGCATGTGTTGTACAGTAAGCTGTCCGACTAATAGCCTAGGTGGTGATCTTTATTCGGGTGTAATGTATCTATCTCATGTCGAAATGAGACATTAGATAATAATATGCTGATGGATTAGAGAAGCCTGGCACTTCTTTGGGACTCTGCTGTAACTTGTCCCCAAACAAGAACTATAACTGCTAGTTTACAGAATAAATTGTTTCCTTAAATGGCGACGTCCATTTGTACAGATTTGTTGAGCCATTGTAAAGCACAAAGAGAACTGGAATTTTTCTTAGTGAGATGCTTTCATAGTAGTTTGACATAACATTTGCTCAATGTTGTGCTTCTAAACCAACTCCATGAGTGTGTTTGCTGAAACTGAAATCAGGTGGCAAAATAACTTTGTCTAGATATATTACTTTTTGTCTTGTCATATGGATGGTATGGCACTGTAACATAAAGTAAGTGAAACGTTTTTATTTCTATTAACATAAAATGTTACTTTGGAATGTAAAAATACAACTGTGTGCCGTGTCTTATTTTTGTCAAGAAATCTAATTTTAAACATTTTGAGAAGGAGGTTATTATGTGTTTACATACATTTGACCACCAGAGGTCTGTATTAACCAACAATATTCACATGTTGGCTGAATAAATTATTTCATTGTCATCAGAGGGAATATCTTATCCAACAGAAATCTGTGCCACTAAACACACTGATTGTTAATTATTTGTTCAATTACATATTTGTGCTCAAGCTAAAAAAGATTATAGTGTATATTATGCCTTTAAACTGTGACATACATTTTACAATTTCACAGCCCACCTACACACACAGCTGATATACATTTAGCATTGTATTACTTACATTAGATTCACATTTTATTTGTACTTTTATGACTACACAGTACATGTATAGCCATTCATAATATAGTAAGCATGGAACAAACAATATATAAATACAATCATTACATTTATTTATATTATGCTTAAACCATTGAATTTATATCTATGACATTATTATTTATTTTGGTCCCTTTACCAGAAATTATTCTCAAATCATTTTAAACATTATTGGATCATTTTAGGATGCAATTAGAACAACATGATTTACTGCTTCTTTATTTTACTGTCTTCGTTTGAACCTCTAGCCGTTAGCACAAGAGTCAGCCAATCTGCATTTCACTGCATTTATTTATTGACCACGTTAATCTAACACGTCATTCATATGTTCCCTCTTTAATCATTGGCCTGTTAGTGTTTTATTGAGCTCCTGTAAAAACAAAACTTTATTTTTTAACTTGAACTTTTTCTCCCAAAAAAGGTTGCCGTTGATTCAAGAAACTAGGAAAACAGTTCCTAACAGAAACACTGATGTGTTAACTATGGCAGAGAAATCTGTTGTGATATTCTGAACAGTTAAAATTAGCCATACTAAACAGAAATATTAGGGACTGGTTTCAATATAAACATAAATTGTGTAATAGGAAGTCTGTGCTCTGGCGCCTCTGTAAACTTCAGCCCTCCCCATTACCTTTAAAGGAGTGTGTACCCTGATCTAAATATGGACATGCACTTTTACTGGATTTCAAAGAATGTCCCAGCCTCACAGTCCGCTTTGTTGATGCGAGGCTCTCACAGTTCATCACTGGCACCCCTCTCTGTAAGGCTGAGAGTCCAGTCTCTTTGCAGCAGGATTGATGCCTCCGCTGGCTTTTTGGTGAGCACGGTGCGACGGCACAGCAGGACACCAGCTCTGTCTAATGGGAATACTCGCCTCCTTACCTTAGGGGAGAACTTACCACACAGTATGGACAGGGATGGGATTTGGTTTTAGTTTCTTCCAGGTCTGGATAACTATTGAAAGAAGAAAAGAGAAGCCACAAAAATATTAGTGTTTCCAGACCTATTCTGTCTTCTAAATAATCAGATTCAGCTCCTCCAGAGAAACCACATTTCCCTGCTCTTCTTCACCGGTGTAGTAGCTTTTACCCCAGTTTAAGGAAACCATGTCCAGGAGAAGGATGAAAGCCCTGACCCGTATAGGCCGGCAGGTCAGCGAGGACCCAGATTTAGACAACCTGCTGTCCACCCTCTCCCCGGAGGAGGTGGAGGAGCTGCAGCAGGACATGATGAAAGTGCCGGACCTCAAGCCGGAGGATGATAAGGTCCTCGCCCCAGGGGAGAGCCAAGCTGCGGCGCCGTCTACGAGCAACAACGACCGGGACTGTAAACTGGACAGCAGGGGAGAGAGTGACCGTAAAGGGAGGCTCAGCGAGAGGGAGCCGTCATTGGAGGTTTGTGAATCTTTGTCTGATGAAGTGTCACCTTATATTAGATTAGACTAAACCCACTACCATCTTAAGATGTTTGTATTTGAGTGTTCTTAGATGAGTTCAAACTCAAATGGCAATCTATGCACTCATGTCTAATAGAGTACAGTATTTGCCTATGGGGATCAATAAAGGTCAATCTTATGTAACATCCACTGTCCCCGAGGTAGTCTAATGATAGCTTTCATGTGCCATTTTTCATTTAGCTTGAAGTAAAGCGCCAACTGGACCTCATGAACACTGACTCCATCAGCTCATAAATAGTGTTGGCTTCTGTGCCAGGGATAAGACAGTTTTCCCTCTGAGGCTTAATCACATTTCACATTCTTAATCAATGTCTCACAACAGTATCAAAAACACAGGAAGACATTTATGTTATTCTGAAAAGAGCCCTCCTTGTCTGAGAGCCAGGTTTCTTGCAGTGTGTGTTTAGACGAGAGGCACTTCAGTGGATGGAGCAGAGGCCCTGCGGAGCTGCTTAATCCCAGCCTGATGGAATTCCTTGGTTGATTGCTCCTACGCTCACTGCCTTTTAAGGTTACATCTGCCAGGGCCACGGCGTCACACAGCAAAACAGATTGAGACTCACAAATCAAACACTTTGCAAGCTACTCCCCACAAATGTATCCCTGCGCTGTAAAAAAAAGAAAAGATGTCTCCTTTTGCTGAATGTAAACACACATGGCATGTTGTGTCAGGGAGGGTGTGTGTGTTTACAGTGAGCAGATGGACGAGGAGCTGTTTGACAGAAAAGGAGCACAATATTTAGGTATTGGTGTTGTATCATACTAGACATGCCATACATTGTATACTATGTCTGAAAGAAAATGGTATTAGATTACATTTAGGTGGTTTACTTTGTGACATAACTCCATATCCTACCTCATAATCCTCAAATTCATTCTCCTGCAGGGAGACACAAAGAAGGAAAGCCGGAAGCAGGAATATCTGAGGAAGATGGGCCTGAGCCAGGAGGGGAACGACGACGTGACAGTAGGGCTACAAAGACAAGCTAGTGTCTCAGGTGAAAAAGATATTAAGGTGGAGGACAGAAACAGCAAAGGTCCTGGAAACTCGAACGAGGAGCGGAGTCGTCTTTCGAGCCGGTACAGGAAGCAGGAAAGCAGAGAGAGTGATGTGAAAGAGGACAGTGAGAAACAGGAAGACAACAAGATAAGAGACCGAAGAGACAACAGAGAGAGCACAGGTAGCAAAACAAAGGATATGATCTCTAAGCTACAGGAAAAAAAGGATGACAGCAAAGACAGGAAAGAAGACTGCAGGAGAAAAGATGAAAGCAAAACCAAAGACATTATCTCGAAGCTACGAGAAAAACAAGAGAAGGAAGTCGGCAAGGAGAAGGACAGGCGATCTGAAGGTTTCAGGACATCGGGACTTGTCTCTAAAATGTTGGAGAAGCAGAGCAAGGCCCAAGAAAGCCCGGCTCCGGAGAGTAAACCCGAAGAGAAGAAGCCTAAAGCTGAGGAGAAGAAAGCTGAAGATACAAAGAAGCCTGAGGTGAAACTTGAGCGACAGGCTTCAGAGAAAGGTGAGGTGCAGGTGAAACAAGACAAGGCCGAGAACAGAACCGACAGAGAAGAGCTGGTTAACCATAGTGACCACGTCAAAGAGAAGGAGAAGGAAGTAGAGGAGAAAAAGGATGACGAGGAGAAAAAAGAAAAAGTCAAGAAAGCTGAGGAAAGTGAGAAACTTGGCAACTGTGTGGCCAAAAACAGTCCAATCAGCAAGGCCAAGGAAGAGGAGGAGGAGGAAGAAGACTCAAGCATGTTTGATGAGCTGATGGAGCAGGTTCGGAGCAACGACCCCTCCCTCACTGAGCTCAACGTCAACAACTCAGAGGTCATAAAGACGAAAACGCTCATTGAGTTTGCAGAGGCTTTGCACAAGAACACCAATATTAAGAAGTTCGCTTTGGCTAACTGCCGTGCGGACGACCACGTGGCTTATGCCATCTCGGGCACGCTGCGCAACAACAAGACCATCACCAGCATCAACGTGGACTCCAACCATCTCACCGGCAAGGGCATCCTGTCTCTGATCCAGGCGCTGCCACACAACGCCACCCTGACTGAGCTCCGCTTTCAAAACCAGCGTCACATCTGTGGCGGGAAGACCGAGATGGAGATGACCAAGATCCTGAAGGAGAACTTCACGCTGCTCAAACTGGGCTACCACTTCGAGTTAGCCGGACCCAGGATGACTACGACAAACATCCTGAGTCGCAACATGGACCGACAGAGGCAGAAGCGCCTGCAGGAGCAGAAGCTGGCCCAGGCCAATGGAGAGAAGAAGGGGGCGCTTGAGGTCCCCAAAACAGGGGGTGGAGGATCTCTGAGAAACTCGCCAAGAGCGTCCCCTAAACCTTCTCCCATACCCTCGCCTATGCCATCACCAAAGTTGACTCCTAAAAGAGGAGCTGGAGGTGGGGCTCCACCACCACCCCCGCCTCCACCTGGGGGTGGACCACCGCCTCCTCCCCCTCCCATGCTGAATGTAGACGCCCTGAGGAACTCTCTGACCCCCGTGTCCCAGAGGAAGCTGGATGGAAAAAGCCCGGGCGGTAGTGAGAACACGAGGGACCAACTGCTCGCCTCAATCAGAGGGAACACTAAGAAACAACTCAAGAAGGTACGTAGGGCTGCGCGGAAATATTGACGCACTTTGATATCACAATATTATGTTTTTGATACTATTTCAACACTCAACATACTAATTGCATGAAAGGGAGCATCTGTTTACTCAAATATGTGCAAAAACTATCAATAAGCACATACACAGGTCAACTGATGCATTTGTGCTAATTAGGGGATTCCCCTTTGATCTTTAGTGCTGTTGCATTCAATGGCTTCCTGTTCTTACTTTGAAGAAGGTCTCTGCCCAAAAGCTCTCTTATTAAAAGATGTTTGCATAGATCTTTAGTGTGCAGATGCTCTTTTAAAATGTAAGTTTGATAGTCTATCAATTAATTTCCTCCATTACTGATGTTTCTCTATTTCAATCAATAGTTAACACTATATGCAGTGTGTTAGTATACAGTATATGTTTCATGTTACCTAATTTGTTAACCTAAACAATCCTGCAAGCATTTGCTTACTGACATAGGAAAATGTGAATTCCTTTGCTAAAATTGCATAACATGTAGCACTATGATGTTGGATGGTACTGTGACGGGGACTGTGATAAATGCAAACGCAGATCCCAGAAAAGCTAATTGATACAGTTTTCCTTCAAATTATATTTTAAGAATAACAATATGCTGCTACAAATAGAAGCGTCACACCTGTATAATGATAATAATACTGATTTTTGCCAATGCACAGCCCTGTGTATAAGGTTAGCTCTGCCATAATACATTCTCACATCACATACTTACATTTTATTCTTCCCACAGGTGGAAGTGCCAAAGTGGTTGCAATGATATTTCCTTTGGAATGTGCCATGAAAGGGAAGAAAGAGGGAGAAGTGGTTTTCAACATGAACTCTACACCCTCCAGATGCAGTTGAAGAATTGCACTTTGGGACGGAGAAAAGTGAAACATGAGATGCCCATACTGTAGGTCTGATGACGAGCCCTCACTATGAGTTCTCCCCTCAACACTGGACCAAAAGTACTCTGTGGAGAATGAGTGATGCAGGGCTCTCTGACAGCCGACTGCCACGTTCTGTGGTTGTTTGTTTTCAGTACATATTGCCGCTTTGCTGGTTATTTGCACTAGATAATATGAAGCCCATCATATAACATGTTGGCTTCTGTATGCATCTGAATGTGAGCGTGATGAGAGTGCGATTAGTTTATTAATAAGAGATACAAATAATTCTTTATAAAATTCTAATATACAAAAAAAGGTTTATCGTTGATATAGTGGACATTGATTTGACCATTTATTTATTTGTTGAGAGAGAATCTTCCTTATACTTGTACGTCGTAAATCTGTTCAAACTGGGAATTCTGATATTAATGATCAGGAAATAACAAACATGGCGGCCTGACTTAAGAAAAATCTGGGTAATAAAAAAGAGAAAGGTCAAGTGGTCTTTGATTGTGTGTCTCATTCCCATATCTCAAAACATCTCAGGCAGGGTTTAATGGATTGGAAAGAAGCCCATTGGAATCCAGGTGCATGACGAAAGAGTTTTAACATAGAAATAATTACCAGACGCATTTTAACAGAAAGGGCAAATGGCTGCCCTTCAGTATCTGATGTTATATTTTGTACAGTCTTTCTAATACCTTCCATAACTTGTAATGAAATGCATCCACATGTCTTAAACTTAAGCGTATTGTAAAACGATTACTGGCATACCTTTCAATACCATACTTTTAAGTGAATGTCATTTCTAAAGGGGTTTAATGTGATAAACAAAAATCAGAGTGCCTTTCATGTGTGCGCCGTGTAACAATTCTGTTATATCTGATTACACATGTCTTTCTTACCGAGCCTGTATGTCTTCAATAAAATATTTTGGTATGTTTGCATTGATAAATCACAAGTGTAATGGCTGATATTATTAAGGAGAATATGACATGTGAAATGAAATATAACTGACTTTTGCATTATTTTATAGTATTATAAATAATGAGCTATCATCAATCTTAGTTGGTTTATGGTCTGTATGTAAGTGTTCACTTTTAGTAGTATACACAGGTGTATCAATTTAGATTTTTTGCATTTAACTTCAGATCTAGCTGTTGCTAAGAAGATATGCTAATTATATACAGAGCCATATATATATATATATATATAGATATGTATCAATAGCCAACAACTAACCTTGTTGTTGCAGCATGAATAATAGATAGACTCCTGTAATACTGCATGTGAATCCTGGCAACAAATGTAGGTTCAGAGCAGAATCTCTTCATCATTATTCTAATTCAAATGACTATGCATTCTTTACATTTCTTAACACAAAGCCCTTCAGCTTTATACATCTTAAACATGAAGCTGTGATCCCTCCAGCTGGTGAGGCAGCCGTCATCCTGAGAACAGCACCAGGCCAGTTTAAATGTCTCCATCGCCCTGCCTCAGCCTCTGCATCCACGATATATGCCTTTATTTGGGCATTTCTTAATGGAAGCTTGCTCTGCAATTCATTCCTTTCTCGTTCCTAATAATGGGCTGCAGGCCAGCGGTCTGTCTCTCAGCTGTAGCTGCTCCCCTGACCAGCAGCACAATCTCACATGGAGGAAAGAGAGGGGAAGGAATGAAAATGTTGAGATTACTGGTTGTTAAACTCCAACAAGTAAAACTTTAATGCTAGCCTCCCAAAAGTGCCAAAAAGTTCAAATCAATGCACAGCTGGGAAGAGCAACCTAAAACTGCTTGTTTCTGCTGTCATTTATAATTAGCTGTTGTGTATTGTCTGAACTCTGTCTACTTTTTTTCCAAGTCTATATCATCCTCCCATAAAACACCATTTAAATTCTGATTTGATTTTTTCATTTAAATGACTTCTATAACTATATGGCTGCAAAACATGCCTCCTTGAAAACACTCATACTGGGCGTTTGGCTACCTTGGAACTGGAGCCCCAGGGTCTAATGTTGGTAGAGAGCCGCTAACGTCATTAAATAAACAATTGCTGGAGGCTGTGGGGTCCCTGAAGTGCCAAAAATGTTTTTTCTTCTTAACACTCAGACAGAGGATAACCAAACAATAAGCTAAACGTGTATATTGTTCTTATCCCAACAGATAATAACCTGCTGTTCCCACAGAGTAACATTACTTGCTCATACTTACCTAAAACGTTGTCATGCTTACCCTGAACCGCAGTTTAAACTAGCGGAAACTTTTTTTTAATTTCAAAACCATGAATTGTCCCTTTAAGACCTCGCGTTACGTCAGCTACTCGATAAGCGTCACGTGGTCTACGTCAGAGGGAACAGCAAAAGAACAAGATGGAGGAATATGCTAGAGAACCATGGTGAGTCTTATAACCAGATATATATACTTATTTATCATTTGTTTTAATAATTCATCTATTTGAAGTCACTAACACTTAGTGTGTATAACTAGTCTTTGTTACAAAAGGTGGCATTACCCAAAACATCTCCAACACTGCTAGTTACCTAGCTTTAGCACTAATGCTAACTACATAGAAATGCATTGGCGGTGTGTGCTAGCATCAGTTGCTAAATCACGTTGTTGTTGACCTTGTTGGTTTACTCGCCCACATGTCATTACATTTACTTAACTGACTCTAGTCACTGATTGCATGAGTTGACATGTGATTTACATTGAGTGTCAAGCAATGTTTTGGCAATATCATATGTTAAATTGGAGTAAAGGATGTCGCTTTAGCATGTTAGTAAGCTATCTATGTTAGCCACCTGTGTGCTAATGTTATCTGCCTGGGGCATCCTAAGGATTGTACAACAGCTGGAGAAGGTTACCTGAAGGTTTGTCCCATTTATCTAGCAACACTGTAATTGAAATCAGTGTCAATGCGGACATAAGGTATTTTACTTTGCTATTGATCAGGATAAGGGACACGATTATACCATGGTCCGGTTTCATGCAGTTAGACAGTCCTGGATCAGGTTTAGTTATCAACAAGAGCATTTGAAAAATAAGTTTGTAACATTTTCCAGCATAACAAAAGCGCTTTTTGTAAATGGATGTATGCACTGCTTAATGAATCGAACATTTTAATGAAACGTCTGAATTCCAGTAAAATAAAGCAACTAATTTAGCTTTTTAATTGTTAAAATAAGATAAAATGTTATCGTCCATTTTCACGAAAAATATTTCTTGCATCACAATCACCAGATTTTCATTAAAACACCTTAAATTACATCTGTAAGGTCACCTTCCTGCATTCTTAAATAAACTGACAAAACAAGATAGATTTGAAAAAACTACTGACCTTTCATGGATACTTATAGAAGATATTCTGCTTTTAACAAGACTCGACAACACGCATCCAACAATGTGATATGATTTAATGCAGACATGTTGAAAATGAGTGATTTAATGATAATTACATTTTCAAGTGTCTTTAGTCAGGATGCTCTGAGAGAGTAATTTAATATGGACATTGTATTTTAAAAATCAAATTTTCTAAAATACACAAGTAAACTGTAAAGAAAAATTAAATGATGTTCCATAAATTATTGTTATTATTACATTTGCATATGCTTATTCCTTGAGACTCCTTTGGATTGAAATCCAATACTTGTAGAGCTTATCTAGGCTGAACCTGCCATCAATGATTATGACTTTGGCTCCTGCCGCTTCACACTATGTACTGCACATTAAATGACGTTAGCTGATGGCTGTTTTATGCTTCCAGCCCCTGGAGGATCGTGGACGACTGTGGGGGAGCCTTCACCATGGGAGCTATTGGAGGAGGGATATTTCAGGCAGTCAAAGGCTTCAGAAACTCACCCTCAGTAAGTTCAGTCATGTAGATGGACTCTGATCCTTGCTGTATTACCCGCCGCTTGGAACATATTAAGAAAACATAAATATTACAATTCTTTGTCATTACAAGTTACAACTGAGAATGCTAAATACATTTCCATTCACCTGTGTTTTGTGTTGCTCTCCTGTAGGGAATGAACCACAGAATGAAAGGTAGCCTGACTGCAATCAAGACCAGAGCCCCACAGCTTGGAGGTAAGAATAACAGCTGAATTTATATATTATCTGCCTGTAGGTAAAATGAACAACCCGACAGGGATCTTTGCAGTAAAAGCAATTTAATAATGTTCGTCGTTTTATGGATGTTTGGTCCATAGAATCTTACTAGGGACAGGAGAGACTAGTACTAGGTAGTTTTTAACTTGACCTCACATAACAAAGTGCAAAGCATGTCATAACTGTCTACTCTAGTTTAACTTGTTTTAAGAAAAAATGTTGGGTTTCAGGAAGCTTTGCAGTATGGGGAGGCCTTTTCTCCATGATTGACTGTGGTTTAGTAAAAGTACGAGGGAAGGAGGATCCCTGGAACTCAATTACAAGTGGGGCCTTGACGGGAGCTATCCTTGCTGCAAGAAGTGAGTAAGCTGAGAAGAAGCTGGCAGTTTACAGTCAACAGACAGCATATACATGCAAGAGGCAAATGGTGGTGTTGCTGTTTTACACTGAAAAAGAGTTTAAAGTAAATCTACCAGCTTTGTGCAATGTGTACCCTTCTATGTTGTGTGTTAACCATACTGTTCCTCTGTAGATGGTCCGGTTGCTATGATGGGCTCTGCAGCCATGGGAGGCATCCTGCTGGGTTTGATAGAGGGCGCAGGAATCTTGCTCACTAGGTTCGCCTCTTCACAGTTCCCAACTGGTGAGTACTTATGATATTTGAAGTTTGTGTCATTTATATTTAGGGATGTGGATTTGCCTAGATGAAAACGCAGCTTGATCTATGTTTATAAATCTACCTCCTTTACACCAGATATTAAAACCTTGAAGTCAGAGAAGTCAGTGGGTCTCTACATATCGTTTTTTTCCTGAGTGCCACCTTTTAAAAATAATAATGTTCCCATTGAGGAGCAAACAACTGCAGCTCCCAGCGACTTTTTTCAGAGATTTCTGCATCTATGTGCGGCAGCTCTGTGTGCTTTTAGTTGAAAATATCTCACCTTTTAACTTGACTATAGAAAAATGGAGGAGCTTGCTTTGGCTGTGTCCGTCTATCCTGACCTTTATTTGTCAGACAGACGCTATCATAACAAAGACGAACTAACTCAGCCATGTATGTATGTATGAGAGATGACCTCTGCTGTGGTAAATAAGTAGTAACCGTCTGTAACGGCTATTTCTGTGGTCGCCCTACACCTGACAAGTTTTTCTGAATTTGGATTACTATACTGTGATACATTAGTCACATTCCTACCTGCTACCATGCTTTACACAAACAGCTTCCAATCCCCATTCATAGCCTACTAAAACATCAGGCTGGGAGATATGTGGAAAATCTAATATCTAAAACATCTATGAATTGTCGATATAATATGGGTAAATTCCCCAAAACTACTAAATTTATATTTTACTGTAGTTACCAGGTGTAGTGTGATATGAAAGATATTTTTCTACAGACTGAGTAAAACATCTAGGGTAGCTTGACCACTTTATTTATTTTCAGTTTATGCAGTTGGGTTAAAAACTTGTAATCCTTGTGTAAGGTTTCCTAACCCAAAGACCATATGTTAAGGTAAAACACAAAATATGTTCACCTAATTAGGTCAAAAACATGAATCTCAATAGATTATTTATTAATTAATACAATAAATTATGACATTTCATAACAGGAAAAGCCCAGATATAATAAATAACATTTATTATGAGTGTTTTATTTTACAATGTTTTATATTAGCGGCTAATCATTCAAATAAATCTGCACAATAATATTAAGCATAATTATAAGCACCACTACACAAAATTCTTTAAACAATTTAGTATGTTATATGGAATCTTGGCACAGCTCAGGACTAAATGTATTTTTTAATTAAGGTATCACCCCACCTAGTTAACAGCTGTTAGACCTCTGATTTAGGGTAAATCTGAATTGAACTTTATTTTGTCTCCCCAGGACCCCAGTTTGCAGAGGAGCCCGCCCCTCCTCCTCCCACGCCGCCCTCTCCCTTCGGAGACTACAGACAATACCAGTGAGAGGACTCCCCCGCTTCTTTTCCACTAGGCCTTTTTCTAAATCCTTGCTGGATAATGTTTAATCTATAAAAAGCATGCCACATACCGAACGTACTGAATTATAAATATGTGGTATACTTATGTATATATAAAGTAACGGGTTTCTGCTTGTATTCACCCATGTCAGTCTTTATTTGCCTTTTTAAATATGTCACCTGCTTGGGCTAGCCGTTTAGATTTATGAAGGCAAATCAAAATCAGATACAATGCTATTCCTAGTTTTTATAAAGAGTGATTTTATTTATTTTATTTTGTGAAGAGTAGTACCTGATTGTTCCCTTTTATGTGACCATGCTTTTACATTCACCACAAAGGTGTGCAAGAGGCTGCTGATGACAAAGGATGGCATAGGCAGTACAAATTAATGGAGAAACTCAAGCAAGGGATTGATGCATATTGTATGAAATCTGTATGATAGATTGACTATGGTACAATAAAGAAACAAGTTGTTAAAGTGACTGTTGTAGTCGTATGAATACATTTAAGCCATTGTCTTTGTCCTGGCTTGTGAAAAGTGTAAATTAAAAATGAGAATGAGTTTATGTTAAACAGCTACACATGCCCATAATTCATGCTGCCTTTGCAGGATTGCTCATTCTCCGCTAGAGGGCAGTCCTTGCTAAAAGTATGGCTCTTTCTTTACTTGGCCAACAATTGTGTTACTGACTCCTTTTAGAATGTGTGTATAAAAGCCACATAAGGGAGTACTTTCCTCTCACATTCCCTATGTTTGTGTCGCACACACCTGTTATCTGTTTGAAGCCGGCTCTGTGCAGCTACAGGTGAAGGACACAGGGGGAAGTAACTGTTGATGCAACTTCAACGTCACCAGTTTGATATGTAGGGTCAGGGTTCATTTGTTTCTTTAGTCACACAAAAGATACTAGAAAACTTACTGCATAATACTTGATGCAGTTTTAACAAGTAAAAGGTTTAATATGGTGATTCCATTCTAATTAACACACCTTAGCTATTGGGGACTAACTATCTCGGACTCTAAATATCTACTAAAGGATTTCAGGAATGTATCCACCTATTTGCTTGATCATTCAAGTCGTGTTATCTATAAAATGTCCAAGCATTTAGGGAAAACACAAGGGCTTGTTTTGACAAATTAAATCTCCAAAAAACTGCAAAGAAATTCAGTATGCTTTCATAAAAGATGTGGGTTAACCAGTCGTTTTATTGACCAGTATTCAGACTCGGAGACCTTATGTGGATACTTTTAAGTTTATTTGAAAGTTGGATTTTAAGACTTGACATTTTGGTTATACTTGATCAGAATTCAACTTATGTAAAACCGACACTTCAAAACCTCCAAAATAACAAAACAGCAAATATTCACATTTGATAAAATGAAAGTTTTTTGGGACATTCTTTGCTTCAACAGTTAGTTGAATAATGTATTACATTTTATATATCCTACTATTTTGATGAAAATACACATTTTCTCCTCTCTAATAACTCAAAAACAATGTTAACAAAGCACAAGGAACATGTTCAATAGTGTGTGTGAGTGAAACTTAAAATTGACTAAAAAGTTGTTTATGACTAAGAATGACACAAAACAAAACAGCTCAATAAAGGACATGTGTACGTTATGTTTCTTTGCCACATGAGACTTGACTTTAAACTGGACTAAAGACTTACAGTTCTCAGTCATTACATTTTTAATCTATTGGAATAGTATAATAAAGTAGCATAAAATGTACATACTTGAATAACCTACACGTTCCTCAAAGTTAAGTATGCTGCAGTACTTGAGTAACTGTTTTCTACTTCGGTACTTACAACACAACAAAATGGCATATTTCAATATATTTTTGTTTTACATTTTGAAAGTAATAAAGTAGTTACTCATCCTCAAGAATGTGTAATGTCTTCACCAGGAATAAATGTTTTTCGCAATAAATATGTAATAATGGATAAAATGATGTGTGTGTTCTGACACTCATCTTTACTGTGCTGCCCCGTTATCATGCAAATGATGCGGGACGAGAGGCCGATGTGTCATGCCCTTTTAAGAAAAATGAGAAATAGTGGGGAGTGACGTCTGCTGCGCACACAGGCCGGAGGCAAACTGACACTTGCGGAGCGGCGAGAGACAGCGAGAGAAACGGTGAGTGCAAACCACAAACTTTACTACATGCTAAACGCGGACAAATAACCCATTTGCTTGGGAGCACGTCTTGTCGACACATGCGGGATTAGTATCGAATACGGCAGGGTGCATGGCGTGTGTAGTGTGTGTCGTTTAAATGAAAAATAAATTGTCCGCAAGTACAAAAAGGAGTGTGCACTCCCATTTTAGTCAAGGCCAGGCGGAAGGGCAGGTAACGTTAGCAGCAATTGCTCTTTCTTGAGAAAATACACCGTGATAGGGGTTGACTTAAGACCTGCCAGGCCCGGTTGACGTGTGAGCTGTAAAATGCGCTTGATTGCAGCGTGTTTCTGACAGCCTAGCTGTGTTTTGATTGTACACCGAGGACAGGAATGTGTCTGCTAGCTAGCTTGATGCTAACGGAGCTGTAGCTAGCGGTTGTTAAGTGTCGGCGGCCCGTCGCAGGCAGTTAAAGCTAGCTAGTTAGCGGCATTGTGCTAACGAGCTTTGATAACGGGATTTAGCGTAGTCGCCGGTGTGAACCTAGATTGTTTATGGACAGATGCTGTCTGGATTAAAGATTGTTATTTTAAGTATCTGTAATCGGGTTTGTGATTTGATTTGATTGGTGTTATGAAGCTGAAGGGTGTAATAATCATGCATCGACGGAGTGTTAGTTGCTGCTCTGTGGTTATAGAGCCAGCCACAGATTGTAGGGATTTAGCATGACCTGGAGTGATAAGCATATGCTACTGCCGTAAGCAAATTAGGTAGATTCACAGGGAGATAACCCTAGAGCTCATTTGACTTTCTCCTGTCTGGGGCCAAGCTCTTATTTTATGGGTTGCCTGTTGCAGGCTTTTTTCTGCTGCAGGGAGAGTGATGTGAAACAGGAAAGGTGTACTACATCCTCAAACTATAAACACACAGTCGGGATGCTTTATTAAAAATAGAGTATCAAGAGGTGTAGGCCAACCTGCAGAGGTGGATTATCGTCTCCTTTTCAACATGTGTTAACTGAATTGATGCACCCGCCTCATCCTGTGCCCTGAATCTCCCCATAGCTCATAATCAGGTATAGGCTATAAAACCCACTTCCTCCCTAAGCCAGCCTAGTTGTCTGGAGCTTTGAACAGGAACAGAGACTGGAAGAAGCTATTTTAGAAGGTAGCTACTTCTTTTCCATCCTATCAGCATGAATCCTTCTTGCTCTCTGGAAAGAGGATGTGGTTACAGGTCAAAGCCTCAGCCAAACACATGCATTCTGCTGATGTTTGTCAGTTACAGATCTTTGTCATAACTTAGTCACACGAAGTTTCGTTTGCCGGGCTGCAGTTTGGTTTTGACTCACGGTGGGACATTCAGGAACCTGAAGAGAGATGTCACAACTATCTAACTAGATAACTTCAAAGCTTTTGGTTCCTTATTCAGTCTTGAGGTATAATTTTGAAAGAGAAGATGCGTAGGAAGTTTGATACCATCTTAAGGAGAGATAACATTTCAATTAGCCTTTATATCAGTTTAAACGTTCATGAGTAATGAGTACGTTTCTGATGTAAATGCAGTGTTATCTATTACATGTGAATGTCAGCTTTCATGAGTACCGGTAGTTGCTGTTGTAATAAACTAGCTTTTCTTTTTTAAGTTCTGGTCGTAGCAATTTATTTTATGGGCTTGTAAATGTTTTTATTTACTAGGATGTTTCCTAGAAAGAACTTTGTAAATTTGGCACTCATTATAGGTCAAATTAGTGTTGGTATCGTTCCAATTAATTAATTCCAATTAACTGCTAAGCTTGCTAGTCTTTCAGTTGGGGAAAGCAGGTCAGCAAAAACATCCAAAAGTGCAATTTGAGTATAGGCATCATCCAGTTTAACATATGAAGATTAACATGGTTAATAACAAATGAATCAAGTAATTTGATGAAAATAAAATACAATACATTTCAACCCGATTTTAAATTTAACAGTACTTGTAGGGAAACTCCTCTGAATATTCAACAGCTGACTTTGAACTCAACCCAACCCAATAAACGGTGTCTTCCACTCTATAAATGGCACCAAAAGAAATCATAAAAAAAAGGATAATAAATGATATGTAAAATAAAGCGTTATGTCTTTTGCTTGACAGGTTTTCTGCTGTCAGTAGTTCCTGGGTGATTTCCCTGTTGGTGTGTGGGTTTCTTATGCTGTGTGAACAAGTGATGTGAACTGTGGTTGTGGTTGAGGTAATGAGTAACTATGAGCTTATCAACGTTAAAACGCGCTCCACCAGAACCACTATTATGTCACCCTGTTTTCGCCTTAAAACCTCAAGGGGAATTTTTTCATCAGTGTTGCTCCTGTAATTGTCATGTAGGTCAACAAGCAAGCAAATCGGAAGATGACACAAGTCGGTATCATGCTGCCAGCTTAACTAACGGATGTGTGCATTTTCACCATCTACATTGGGCGGAGGATACAGAGGGCAGCTGTCAATCAAACCACCCTGCTGAGTCAGGCGCTGTGACAGCTTCACATCTGTCGGATTGGCCTCGCTACAGCAGGAAACAGTGCATCCTGAATGTTGTAGCATAGCTGTGAAGCCTCCTGCTCTCTTATTTCAGCTTCCTCTCGACTGAGGCGTAGTTTATACAGACACATTTGCTGCATATTCTTGCTTAGCAGCACCACCTCGTCCAATTTCCAGCCTTAGATGGATACATACCTTTGGCTGTAGAGGGTGAGTGATGCGGTGATGTCATGGTAGAGTATGTTTTCTGTGGCATGTGGCTTTCCCTCGCTCCTTATTTGCTGGGGTTACTACGAGAGCAGAGGAACGGCAGCGATGTGTTTGTTTTGTTGGGAATGACAGTGTGTAGTTCAGGGCGATGGAAAGAAGGAGAGGTTTGGTTTTTAAAGGGAGATGTCCTTAAATGGCCATGCGTGTGTGTCTGTTTGTGTGTGTCATGAGTGTGTAGGCAGGCGGTTGAGAGAGTACAGTGCAGCGTGTAGTGAGTGTCTGTGAAAGTTTGTAGAAAATGTGTCAAAGCAAGAGCATCCTTTGTAGAATATGCTACAGTTATGAGTAGGAAGCTCAATAAGACCAGAGTTCAAAGGAGAAAGTTGTTCACTCATTGAATATAAAGCAGAATTTTTGGGGGCTTGATTGGGAATGTCATTTGAGTTGGGGGAGACTGGTATTTTTGTCTTGGCAGGCATCAAGCACAGCCACTTTGCTATTCTCGAGAACATCATTTAACACACTCGAGCTGCAAAACGTTGTCCTTCACGGCTACTCGAGCTTAGAGAGAAGTACACTGTCTTGCCTTTTGACGCTCAACTAGGCCTGTCGCGATAAGCAATTCATTGACTTATCGTACGATAAATAAAAATGAACTCGATAACTTTTCTGACCTCGATAAATTGCCGTTTACATGCGTGTTTGTTTACATAAGAATGTGACCAGCATTTTAGCCAGGCGCGCTGTGGCTGCCGGCCAGGCGCGCTGTGAGGGGCGGGGCTCACACACAGCCAGGTCAGGACACTCCACCAAATGAATAATATAGAGACAAGCAGGAGATAATGTGTGACTTACTCGAGGGGAATTTGAAGTTAAATGGAATTGGTTGCAAAACCTAATTCCACATCTCCGGTGTGGGAATATTTTGGATTTAAGCCAAATCAACGAGGCGAACCTACGGACTTGAATGAGCCGGTATGTCGCATTTAAAAAATAAAAAATAAAGTAGCAACAAAAGCCAGCAATACGACCAACCTTCAACTGCACCTGAAACACAACCACCCCATTCCGTTTTCCCAGCTGGGAGCAAACACGGCAGCTGGAGATGGAGAGCCCCCACCTTCCCGACAGTTTGCAATCAAAGATGCATTTGCCCGACAATGCGAACATGTTGGTGTTCCTTGCTCGAAATCTTTGATTGATACAGATTTGGATATGATATTTATTTATTTATTTATATATATATTTATTTATTTATTTATTGATAGATAGATAGATAGATATTTATTTATTGATAGATAGATAGATAGATAGATAGAGTCTTTAATTTATTGTTTTGGTTGTGTGATTTTAATTAATTTCTTATCATTTAATTTATTTGTTTTATTTATTATAATTTATATATTTGAATATTATTTCACATTTCATTTGCAATGTTGAATGTTCTGTTTGAAAGGATGTACTTTAATTATTATTATATATTATCATTATGTCAGTGGTCTAAAATGGTCTTACAACGGTGCCGACAATATTATCGTTTATCGCAATAATTTCCGGGAAAATCTATCGTCCAACAAAATTAATTATCGCGTCAGGCCTACGCTCAACAATGCATTTTAACTTAAAAATGTAATCGTCTTTATTTGTAAGCAAAAGTTAAGCGTAGCTCAACAGCATTACAAATATTAAGATATTGATTTTCTCACCACGCCTACATACACCAATATTTTAATTTATGAAGATGATGATGATGATGATGATGATGATGATGATGATTTACTGAGTTCTGAGCTCTTAAAGTGCCCTTCTGGTTGTGTGTAATAAGTTAATAGCAAAATAACTAATTATGACGTTTATTTCCCAAATGACTATTGCCCTAATGCTAGGGATGTCCCGATCACCTTTTTTTGCTCCCGATCCGATTCCGATCATTTGATTTTGACAATCTGCCGATACCGATTTTTCCCGATCCGATCTTTATGCAATGCATTAAGAGGAAAAAAAAGGTAACAGATAACGGCTGGTCATCCAACGCGATGAATTCAGCTATCTTGGCTGTTCTGGGGTAGTTTCTCTTTCCTTTTAAAAGTCTCTGAAAGTGTCGGTTGTTTCAGTGCCGTTACCCGAGTGGCCGCTGTGTACTCGTCGTGTTGTTGGTGGTGGTGTTTGTATTAGATTGGTCATGTTGAACGTAGCTCTGTTCTTTCCACCACGCGGAACCTCCGCCTTGCAAACATTGCATCTGGCTGTTACACTGCCTTCGCTTTCAATTTTATAATACTTCCAAACTCCTGACATTTTCTCTGTCCCGACTCCCGAGTCACCAGCTGAACGTAGCCTCTTGTTAGCTTACTGCTACTATTAGACACTGCGCCCACTCTGTTGCCAGATTTGAGAGAAATAAGCAACCAGGTCTATGAAAACAAGCCCAAAAGAAGCAACACATACATGATGTTGTGTAATTTTAACCCAAAAGTAAGGCCTCAGGATGACTTTAAGACGTGAACATGGTCATTTTTGTTTTGTAACATTAAATAAAATGTATAAAAATATTTTATAAAAAAAAAAAAAAAAAAATCCGATCCCCGATTTTTTCCTCCCGATCCCCGATCACGTGAAAATCACGTGATCGGCTCCGATCCCCGATCACGTGATCGGATCGGGACATCCCTACCTAATGCTCTATTTATGTATTGAAAATAGCATGTATTCAGTAGCATCAGTATTTGTTATACATATTTGAAAATGTAACGATACAAATGTAGGTATGAAACATGTTTATGCTGCAAATAGCATCTCCTTTAATATTTTGCACCTCCAATATCTCTTTTCTTTTTACCATACTTTTATGAGCTGGTAACATAATCTATTTTAAGCTTAGTTGAACATCATTCCCTTTTGTTGACACAGGACACAAAACTACATTTTTTGTCCCTTAGAATGTGTATATAGCAGGTCTCCCTTGAAAAAGAGATCAATGATCTCAATGGGATACACCTGGATAAATAAAGGTTTGAAATGAAATATGTAGGCACCTCACCTTTCCTGGAAAAAAAGTAAATCACTTCCTCCAACATCAGAAAAAAACAAACAATAGTTTTATGAAAAATGCAAGGGATTAAGTTTAAACACAACCAGTCCTTTTTAAAAAGTATTTTTGTTGTAAAATGAAACCAATAAGCCTCATAAATACCTCAGCTTTGGGTCCTAACACAGATCTGCAGCATCTCAGCTTTGCCTTTTCTTTGAGGATATTTGAGCACAGGTAAAATTGAGCAATAAACATCCATAATGTCCTCTGAAGCAGTCGCATATTAATCTAACAGTCACTATCACAGAGTGGGTTCCTGATGTCACCTCTCTTATCTTGTGAACCCTCAGTGTTCATACAAGAACCATGACATGTGGATAGCTGACAGTAAGGCCTAGCCTAAATTTAAGTGTGACATTGTCTTTATGACATTGTATATGTTACACTGTGCATGCACTTGACTCTGTTCTTGAATGTTTACATGAGTGCAGCAGGGACTATTTGCATAGCATTCGTGCGCCCTGGTTTCTTTTTTTTTCTTTCTTCCCATGGCTCCTCCCTAATCGTGCAAGGAGAACTTCTCTTTGTTGTGTAGAGGATTAGTGAATATGAATTATTCACAGTCCGGGCTTCATATCCCACATGGTCACTGCTTGCGATTGAAGTTGGAGGTCCTTGGTTCCTTCATCCACCCCCCTTGAGTATTTTTTATGGAGTGTGCTGCAAAAAGAACAGTGTAGGAGGGGATCATCTGCTTCCCAGAGTGCTTTCCAATTAGCTTTTTAATGTTTTGGGCAAAAGAGTTGACTATTAACGTGTGGCTATACTTTGTCCCTTTAGACCTGATTTGAACTTGAAGCCACTTTCTGATTTTCAACACAGTTTTGATGGCAGCATGCTGCACTTTTCAACTCATGCTGGAGATGCTGTACTCTCAGGGCTAGTCCTTTGATGTGAGGCCTAAGAAACCTGGTGTCTGTTTTTCCCTCACTACAAACCTAGTCACATTTAAGGGAACACTGAAACTCTGGCTTTTAAATAACGTACCTCTAATACAGACGTGTAGGCAGGGTTGAATTTAATAGCGTGTGTGTGTGTGTGTGTATATAAGCCTGTTGTCAGGCTGTGTAGCTGCACAGATTGACATATCTTTTACATTAATACGTTTTCTCAGTAAAAAAACATGTAACTCCATACTGGGTAATTAAGGGTTTAGCTAAAATGTCGTAGCGACAAAAGATTATTTTCATTTTAGACTAGTCCAATATAAATACAAATTGTTATTCATTAAATATAAAGACTTTAACATATATTAACCGATCAGGTAACAGTCATGGGAGGTCATAGGAGAAGAATCTCAAAAAAACTATTGGTCATCTCGCATACTTTGGTTTCAATCGACTAATTTATTAATTTACAGAATGTTGTAGCTCTTAACTGAAAGTTTTAGCAGTTATGGTAACTTAGGAGTTTATTCTCTCAGAGTTGGGCTTTTTTCTATATGTTTTGTACTTCAAATAAATAATTACTTGACTGTTGAACAATAGCTTTTCATATAAATCTAATTTGTTATGATCCAGAAATCCCCCTCTTCTTTCACCACCACCCCTCAGTGTAGCGGGCTCTCTCTGCAGTGACACAGTTGGCCAACTCTACTGACTTTATGCCACAATGTGTGCCAGTAATTAGGAGCCTCTGCATCCCTTTAAGGGATATTCCAGTTATTTCCCAATGTCCTCCCACTGCAGGTTTCACTTTCAGCTGTTTTCTGTCATTAGTCAAAAACACTGACACTATACTGCTGTTTTACAAAAACAAACTGGAGTGACATCAACATCTGACAGCAGGGTGTGTTTTGGGTTGTGAATGCCAGATGATTGTCTCATTATGGGGAATATCTGCCAGATCCATGTATCATCTCCCTTCAGTTCCCCCTACACACACACACACACACACACACACACACACACACACACACACAGCTGGTTTGTGTTAGAGAGGGGTCACATACTATTCACCTCCTCCACCCTGAAACAGCTCCACTTATGGGTGTTCCCTCCATTGTTGTGCTGCTTCTTGTCCATAACCTCCAGGAATGACTAGAATCCTTCCTCTTGAGTGGAAAAACTCTGAGAACAGAGACTGGGAAATTCCTTTGTTTTGCTTGAAAAGTTAGATTTTGTTTTCTCTATCTTTACACCCTTTTCTCATCTTGTTTCTCCCATTTTGCTTTTCCTCATTTGTCCAGAGCAGACTGTTGGGCTGTCCGGTGAAGCAAACCCGCCATGCGTGAATACAAGCTCGTGGTGTTAGGCTCTGGAGGTGTGGGCAAGTCCGCTCTGGTGAGTATTCCCTCCTGAACCCCTTCCTGCCGCCCTCCCACTCTAACACCTCTGCAGTGTGTTTCCTTTGGACTTAGCTGGGACGACAAAAACCTAATATTGCTTTAAGTTGTTGGAGAAAACTTTTTTGTTAAATAATTTAGGGAATTTTTGACACAGGCTGCCACAACACCACATGTGAAACTCTCTGATCCTCTTTTTTAACCCTAAAAGTGTTGCTTTTGCTTTTCTTTGTGGGTGGTAACATGCTTGCGTTTCCTAACAAATGTCTACATTCCCGGAAAATGCTCAGTACAAAAAAAAACGTAAAAATATCCGAATACCTTTTTATATAGAGTAATAACTATAACTTGTTGAGTAATACTAACCATACAAGTACTATAAATGAACTACTATAAGTCAAATAGTATAGATAAACAATATTTCTCATGGTATTAGGTATACAGTTATGCTTATTCTAGCCTTGCCAACGGTTCTACATGTGAAAATCCATTTTCAATTTCAACATTATCATTAAGAAAAATCTTAATGCACTTTTAAATATCCTGTTGCCACAATTATTTTGTATATTTTCAGAAGGCCATAATTGTCTGAAATATGACATGTTCTTTTGAGCTAACTTAGTCCAGGTGTCGCAGTCGCGCTAATCTCTCTGAAACTGGCAGGCGGACATGTTTACACCTTCAGACATTATCAGGTGAACACGGTCCGCCCTTAATGTCAACTCACCGTCAGGCGCAGTGCCTAATGTCATGTGTGTCTCTATAAGATTAATCAGAGATGTGCTGGGCTTCAGTTGAACTTTGTCTTCCGACTGGCAACATCACAAACATCCTTTTCTTCAGTGCCTGGCCGTGTTGTTGTGACAGCCCAGCGGGAACACATTTGCCACTCTGGATATATTGCTGCTGTGGCCCGGGAGGTCACATTGATCTGACGTTGTCTTCCTCTGTGTCTTCTCTTACAGACAGTTCAGTTTGTACAGGGAATCTTTGTGGAAAAATATGACCCTACAATAGAAGACTCGTACAGAAAGGTGAGTGTCCCTTGAGCGGGGGGGGGGAAGAGTGGGGAGAGTGCTGGAATGAGCTGATTGTTAGCAGCTGCTCTTCAGGTTCACTTCATGATATTTTTGCTCTCATATAACTCCCTTCATCCTTCTCTTTTTCTCTCCTTTTTTAAAATTCCCGTGCTAAAGTGTTACATGTTGTATCTGCCTCTTAGTATGTATTCATTCCAGTATTTTAATTATAGACTATGATGTGCCCATTGACCTGAAATACAGCTTGACATGATCTGTTTCCTTTTTTCTCACAGCAAGTGGAGGTAGATGGGCAGCAATGTATGCTTGAAATTCTCGACACAGCAGGCACAGTAAGTGAACCCTGTACCACTGAAGTCTCTATCCACTCCATGCACTACTGTAGTGACCACATTATAGGTCATGGGAAACTCCTTTCTTCTAGGATAGTGATTTATTTTGGGGTAAAACAGAAATCACAGGCTCAAGGTGGGTGGTTTTTGTAAGAAACATTGAGAAGTACTATGCTGTCAAAGACTTAACCAGCTGAGATGCCATGTAGTTATGACCTGAGACACTGTTATGTTTTTCCATAAAGACATTCATCCTACTGACTTGATCCCCTGACACGTTTCCCTAGCGCTACCTTGAGGTGAACATTTGTAGATTTGAGTGAAATTACTATTTGTTGGATTACCATGATATGTGGTGCAGATGTTCACCTCTCTGTTAGCGATCAACTTACGATTGAACTGATCACATCTCATCTAGCATCATTGTATGTTTCAAATGTATTTTACATATGCACAAGATTTACAGTGAAACCAAATCCTTGACGTAAGCATGCTAACATACTGAACTAAGATGGTGAATATGGTAAATATACTATAGCTTGTAAACTGATGTTGTTAGAATTGAGCTTAAAGTCTTACAGCATGTCTTTAGACTCAAAGTCTTGTCAGGAATATCTCCATCTTTAATCCAGCAAAAGTATGCAGAAGAGTGTACATGTCAAAGTAGGGCTGTGCAATTAATTAATTTTAATCTCGATTACGATTTTGGCTTGCAACGATTACGAAAACAATGTAATCGAAATAAAACGATTATTTTAATTAAAAAAAAAAAAAAAAAAAATGTTTTTTATTGTTTTTTATTGTTTTTTCTGTTGAATTATACTTAAAGTTCAAGGTAATCAACTGTTAAAAACATACTGTTCAAATTTTTTTTTCAATATATGGATGTTTTCAAAGTAAATGGATAATCGTTTTTAATAATCGTGATATCAATTATTGACCAAAATAATCGTGATTATGATTTTTGCCATAATCGCACAGCCCTATGTCAAAGGTTATTGTATGTATGTTGATTGTGCCGAAGCAACATGCATGTTCATGCCCGTTTCTAGTGGAAAATCGTGGGGTGCTGGTATTTCACACACACTGCACAATGGTATGAGTGTGCTGTGGAGAGACTTGACAGAGATCCAGCAACACCACCACCACACATAATCTGTCACTATATGTACTGAATCTCAGAGCAGGACACAATATTGTGATTATGAGTTATACTGTATGTAATGGACATTAACAATAGAAAGAGAAAATATGAGAGAGCTCATGCCTTTCCCGTTTATCTTGCTGTGCAGGAGCAGTTCACGGCGATGAGGGACCTGTACATGAAGAACGGCCAAGGCTTCGCCCTGGTATACTCCATCACAGCACAGTCCACCTTCAACGACCTGCAGGACCTGAGAGAACAGATTCTACGAGTAAAGGACACAGAGGATGTAAGTCTGCACTCTTTGTAGCATATTAACATCAGCTCCTCGCATTTTCACAGACGTTTTTCTCATTTTCTATCATGGTTAAATGGTTAGAGCCACAGGAAATGTAAAACAGCACAGAAACAAGCTCTGCACTTCTCTGTTCTCAGCCGCCTACATTGATCAGGACCTGATTGTACTGTTGCTATGGATACTATTCAACACTGTAATCACTGCATCTTATGCCAGTAATTACACATTTGTATTACCTTAACATAATGCACACGGTGTCACGTCTGTTGGCTATATAGTGAGAACAATAAGGAAACTCTTCCTGAAACTTGTGTATTGTACTCGGCCTAGCATTAGCTAATGTTAGCGTCACGCAGGTCTCTGTGGTTTTACTTCATCTGTTTAACATGGACGGAGCCAGAGTCCCCGCTGAGCTAAGAGGCCAGTAAAAAGGAGGGGAATGTCTTTTTCTCTTTAGTCTTGCTTTTAACAGACATGCACTGTGGTTTCCCCTCCAAGTCTGCCCCTCAGCTTGGATCTGTAACGGAGCAAATAAAAAGAGGACGTGTCACGTCATTATTTTCCCGGTTTGCTTTTTCTTCAAGGCATATTTCCATTTTCTGTATATCTGGTGAATTGTGAGGCAGTAGAGTGAGTACGCTCTTCATGCACTCTCTACTGGCCCAGATAGTGCGTCAGCAGGATCTCAGATGCCCTTTTTTGGTGATCTCAAGAGAGTGAATGTTACCATAACCCTCTCTCTCCTTACTTTTTCCTTTCCTCGCTTTCTCCCTGTTCCCTATCAACCGTCTAAAAAGCAGCTCTGCAGCTGGTAGCAGAAGTTTTAAAATCTTCGGTGTCCATCTTTTGGTTTGTCCTTCTCTTGCTCCTGTTCTCTGTATCTGTGCCAGTTAACTCCTGTTACTGTGCCCCCCCCCCCCCCTCTTCTCTATGGCCTTCCTTGTGGTCTTACTGTGGTCTGGCACTCTGTGCGGGTGATTGGACTGTCAGGGATGATGTGCAAAGAAAGCTTCAGCTCATCAGAAGCACACTGGATCGTGAGGCTGTGGTGCTTCATTAGAGCGTACGTGGTTAGAGAGCTGAGGTTAGCCTCAGGCTAACGGATGGATTGCAGGATCAGTGGCTGCAAGAAACCAGTTGAGGTCCCTCAAACTGGTTCCATTTCAGAGTATTTCTTAGGTTTGTTCTTATCTGGGTACTATGGCCACCCGTTAGTTATCAGTCTGCTGGTGATTCCAGCTTTTACCTTCAATGACCAGCACATCTGTTTATCTTTCTTTGCCCTTTGCAGGAATGCACCACCTAAGGAAATGCTTAAAAAGGTCTCTTTTATTTGGCGAAAGCTTTAAAACTATTTCTAAAGCAGGCATTCTGGTTGCTGCTGCAGCTGTTCTCATTCTCGGCTTTTCCACGCACAATTGACTGTAAAGCTTGCAAAACGTACAGACTCACTTGAAATTTCCAAGCTCAATTAACAAGCCTTTAATGACTGCACATTTGAACACAGTAGGGTGAAATTCCATCTCCTTAAAAAAGTCGTTAGAAGAGGAGAATGAAGTGGGTGAGCACTCACCAGTGTATTAAGAGCTCACTCCCTTTACCTCCTTCTACAATTCTTATGTAAGAGAGGTGTTGTGATTTTTCTGGGGCCATCTCCGTCTCTACTTGTGTGACTCGGATGGTACTAATGCCTGACTCCATGCTTGTGACTCACAGATCCATTCATTTGGGGTACTTTGTACTCCCATTTTCTGCGTTCCCCACAATCAGATCTTTAGGAGGCCATTGTGGGCGGGACTGGACCTGTCTGTAGCATGTTAACAGCGTCTGAAGGGTTTCTCTGTGGCCTGCACGGATTCCTCCAGTCTGCTAATGCTGCTGACTCTGAACATTTTTTCTTCCCTGCATACCTCTATCCTACCATCCCCTCTCTCCATCCTTTTTATTCCAGCTTGGCTCACAGTTTGTGTTAGGAGGGCATACCACTGGTTCTCCCAGGACCCCTGGGAGAAATGTCATTCAGCAGTGCAGTGGGCTTGTTTGGATATCAAACATCAAGCAGCAACCTCCACGGGGTTAATCTAAACATCGCAGCTTCCTGTCGTCTGCCCCACAGCCCGGAGAGAGCGAGGGAGAAAAGGAAAAAAGGATCCTGGAATATTCATCCAGTGCTTTGAAAAGTGTTACATTTTCTGAAGGAGCGTGGCCACACCGCTGTCAAAAACGACCCCTGAACAGTAGCCTTGTGGGTGGAAGAATGTCTCAAGTTTAAACAAGTTAGCGCATGTCAGGGTACTAGCCTGTTGATTACAGACATTCAGTTTTTCCACCAGACATGTCTAAGTGTCATTTCTGGACCATGAGAAGGGAGTGAAGGCAGGATTTCCCATTCATGGATTTATTTGTTGCAGTCTCACCACCACAAATAGATTTCCCCAGCTGATATATTATTGGCGCCTGTTGTGCTGCCTGCTACATTTTCCACCAGTTGATTACGTCTCTTGCCTGTTAAGCTTCACCACACACACACACACATCCTGTGAACCCCTGGAAAACTGAGACAAACATTGAACTCTTTCTCAGACCTTTTTCTGTTGTCATACAATTTTACAGTGGCTGGTATAGTAAAGCCAAGTTTAAATGCAGACTGATTGCAAATGCATGCAAACGCACTGTCTATCACACATACTATCATGTAATTCCAGAGAGCAGCCAGAGCGTGGAATCCAGCTGAAATGTTCAAATTCAGGAAGGAAAGCGATGTTATCCTGGCTGGGCGGGGCTGCCATGACTTCCTCTCAGGCCAGCATGCTCCCTAGATAGACGGTCAGGAAACAGCAGGCAGGATGAGACGCATCCCGACACCCTGGCTGCCCCGACTCGGCCCACTGTGACAGTTAGGGTCCGATGTTATGCGCAGAATATTCTCTCTTCCTCAGAGAGTTTTTGTTTTTTTGACCTTGGCTGGTAAAACATCTGACTTGTTCCACAAAAGAAGAAGTGTCGGGTATGGGAGACTCCTAAACCAACTGCACATGTCAGTGGTTGTGTTCCCAGCTTAGGAGTTCCTTCTCTAAAGAAACAAAAGCAAAAGAAACTGCAATCATTGCAAATTCATATTGATTTCTTAATCTCTTTCGTACCTGTTGTGTAACCTAAATGATTTGTTTGCCTGCCCACAGGGATGGATTGGTTTTCTTGATTGTCTTTGTGACCCTGTAATTCCACTTCAAATGGAAATGAATAAGCTCTTAATAATAATAATGTCTCCACTGTGTACTTTAAGGATGCGTGCGAGTGCATATTGTCCTGCTTATACTCTCACTTCCTCCTTCCCTATGTCAATACTTTGCACTGGACAGTTATAGACTTTTATGTCACCAGTGTTCTCGGCAGTCATGTTTAAGGAGAGCTTTCTTTCAAGGGGCAGGCAACAGCTTTTAAAGGAATTTCTTTATCGAACACACTGATGTTCGTATGGACAGCACTTTTGTGCAATATCCAAGCTTTACGTCGAATTCCTGGCATTTTCACAAATACTCCTTTCTACTTGTCCCCCTTTTTTCTCTGTTTATTTTTATGGGCTTACTTCTGACAATAATTGCAGGACACATCTGTGTTCAATTAGCATTTTTCAGGGCTTCAGATCTGTTGTTTTTCCACTTATAGGTGCTGACAATTGTGTATGTATTGAGATAATCACTATGCCGCTATGTTATATGAATTACATATTTTAAAAGAGAGAATGCTATTTATATTGCATGTATGAAGTTAAGTCTATTTTTATGACACAAAGTCTCAAACACGGCTCACACTCTTTCCTCTGCTTGTCCTCAGGTGCCGATGATCTTGGTGGGGAACAAGTGCGACTTGGAGGATGAGCGTGTGGTGGGGAAGGAGCAGGGCCAGAACCTGGCCAGACAGTGGAACCACTGTGCCTTTTTAGAGTCCTCTGCTAAGTCAAAGATCAACGTGCTCGATGTGAGTACACCCAGAAACTAACCACTGGTTAACCTGCCCACACATCTAGTCTTCAAAGAGCAGCCACCATATGACTTTTATCGCTCAGGGATTTATTGAAACGCTCACCTAATTGTAAGAATAACCTCATCTGAGTTTTCTGTAAACAAAGACTGGTATGGTTTATCCAAGATGCAAGTGCTAATGAGCTCAGTCGGATTATACCTAATACTCAGTGCTACACCCTTGCTAAACCGAATGTGTGTAAACGGCAGCATCAATCCATTTGGTAATGAGGCCCCAAGTGATTTCTTAAAGACGCCACAGTGTGTTTGGAACTGCCTTGTTTGAAAGAGGAGATATGATTTGACTGATGTTCAATAATTGAAATATTTGTTTGTCGCCTCTTTTCTCAGATCTTCTATGACCTGGTCAGACAGATAAATAGGAAAACGCCAGTGGAAAAGAAGAAGGCGAAAAAGAAATCCAACTGTGTCCTGCTTTAAAAGACCCCCTCCAGCCCCTGCAGCAGCTCTGAGCCAGGTGTGTGTGTGTGTGTAACATTTCCAATAGTCTAGTCACAAAAGCCCAGCAGCTCACCTTTCTGGGAGGTCATGATGCCCAGGCTGGCTGTCAGGTTAATTAGTGTAGCATAAGAGCTTTGATCTTTCTATGTCATCCCACATGATGCTACTCACTTTTAGTTCATCACAGTCTATTATGGGTCTCTTTGCCTGCAGTGAAGTACAGTCAAATTAATCTAATTTAACATCATGTCACCAGTGGTTACTGTGCCTTGTTGAGCTCGTTAAGGAGGACTTGAGAAGCTAGGAGAGAGTGGAGAAACTCAGGAGGAGCGATTCAGAGAGAGAGCCCCCCCCCTTATGGAGAGTAGATGTGCAACAGATATTATAACTGGGAAATGGTACAAAAAAAAAAGTTGCTATTGGTTCCATTTATTCTAAATGAACTCACTTACCTGAACTGGATTCATCGAACTGGACTGAGTAAAGGTTTTGTGGATCAAAAAGTCTGCACAAATGCTTTGGAAATAGTCCTATAGTATCAATTTCATACAAAACATGTAAAAAACGAATAAGGAAAATGTAAGTCATTTTCAGAATTATATTATACTTTATTTACTCCCTTAATGCTCTGCCCCGCTGTAACCCTTTGCCTCTCGGCTACCTGAGGCTTGTGCTTCGTGCGCATTGAAATCCTGACCGGAAAAATAAAGTAATTTTCTCCCAATAAAAAACACATAGCGGCCCTCAGGCTTATGGCAAACTGCCAAAAAGGAGCCAAACATTTGGTGTTCCTCAACCTACCTTATGCAACCTACAGAAAACAAATGTGCTCAAGGAAAGTACCTGTGGCTGATGCCGCCCTCGTCACGTGGATTGATAATGCCTGAACAAAGGCAGAATACTTGGGAGTGAGCCAGTAAATACAAACGCTGTCAAATGAATTACTCTATATTCATGAAATAAATATACAAACATAAAATAAATGGCAATCTGCACTAGAAATAAACAAAAACAAAACAAATGATGCCATCAATTTTACCCATTCAAAAAATGATCCCAATAAGTGTTTTCTGCTTTTTATATATCAAGGCTTTTTATTTGTTGTCATTCTAGTGCAATTAATCGGAGTTGCAGGGTGCTTCTTCTGTGTACTGGGTTATAAATGTAGTCATTATCTGAAGAGGAACTATTCCACGTGACAACAGATCAGACATCTATTATAAGGCGTATGTGTGGGACAAGTCTTGTCACTTTCCGAGATGACAGCAGTTGTCATCTCGTGACAGAGAAAAGCATTTCTTCGATGCCGATTAGCTACAGATCCAGTAAATGTTTCAGGACACGCTGACGTCCCCCGAGTCGGCCTTCAAAAGTGTGAAGTGCTTTCATTAGCAATTCCTCTGCATCCTTGTTGCTGTTGAATGAATGAGTCACTGTATGATGGCTGGCTTTAAATGTGGACCTCAGCAGACTGCAGCTGCTGGTTGAGTCTGAGGAAATCCAAATCTGTCATTAGTTTACCAGAGAAAATGAGTATCGCTTCTTCATTTTTTTTAATCGTTTTACAGCATTTTTTTATTATTACTTTAATGAGGAAGTCTGAAACCAGCCCAAATCAGGCTGCGTATTCCCATCAATCTTTCTTAAATAGAAACTAGTCTATTTATTTGAAGCTGTCCTGTTAATAATCTGTATTGTATGTGATGCAATAATGTTAATAGGCGCTGGATTGCTGCTTGACAGTACATGTAATCTACTATCCTTAAAGCTCTTTTTGTAAATATTGGCTTCATTTTTTCCATCCTACTGTAAGTGTAAGGACGTATTTCTACATTCAGTTGCTTTTAAGATTATACATCTTGCTTGGCAACTTCTGTCACTGTATACATAATTCCATTATGTATATCTGTTATGGGCTTAAGCAGCCAGAAATGGTTAAGGAAAAGCTTATTTAGTATAAGTTGTGTGGCTAAATATTTGGTATCTTCCCACAGTATATTTTTTTATACTTCCCAATTCTTATTTTAGCTGCTGGCCACATTAACAGAAGGTCAGGGGTTATTATGCGCTCCTGATAACATTTCACCCCAGTTAACCCTCCGCTCAGTCTCAGTCAGAATGTTTCCACCCTGAAGTGGAAAGTTTCCTTTAAAAGATGACTTTAGGTTCAGTAGTTTGAGCATGTCTAGTGACAAATCATGACCTTTCCCCAGCCTCACATGGAGATTACTACGCTGGGTGTCAGTATTTCCAAACATTGAAGTAGCCTAATCTGTTCCCTATGGCTGGTTGGAAAAACCTGCGTCTCCTCAAAGGCAATCATGGTGTTATACGTGTAGACACTAAGAATGTAGTGTGAAGAGTTCAAAGAAGAGCTTGACAACAAATGGCTGACATCTTGCTGAAGTGTCATACATGCCGACTTTTAACCATGTGTGGCCTGCTGTCCTGTAGCTGAGCCCTTTTTTATTTAAGTTGACAAACCATTGAATTACAATGATCTCAGTATCACATTGTCATAATAACTATATGTTTGAAGAAATCGATAGCAAAACGAAAAACTCATATCTGTTTAGGTATACACTATACCAGACCAGGAACAATAGTAATTGTTCCCCACTGCTACTGTATAGGGGATTTGCTGTTCTACTGCTGCCTCGATTCATTTAATATATTTAATATACATTTATTTTATTCACCCCGAAGTTGGTATAAAAAGCCAAACATTTTGAAGTGGTTATTTGAATAAAAACACACTTCAAATACAAAACAACAAAAGATCTGATTACCATTTCAATATCTGGCTTGATTCAAAAAACATCTAGGCATGTGTTGTTTAATTATGTATTATAAGCTTCTTAGGCCTAGTATTAGGAAGTTAACCAGGTCATAAATCCCTCTCTAATATAACATATGTTTGCTGTTATTGGTATTAGTGTTGCACCCACTCTATTAAATGCTGCTTTGCTTCCATATCAAATCTCCTGTCTGTCTATCTACAGTAGGGGCGTGCTGACTGCCCTCTACTGTAGGTGATACCCTAACCATGGCGAAGTACCTCAGACAACCCGCCTTCAACACATCTGAACTGTTCCTAAAACACATTTTGGGCATTGTTGTCAGAACAAAACCCCATAGTGCCAAACAGCAGAGATGGTACACCCACCTCCACTTTTCACTCGCAGGTTGGGTGGGAAATCAAACATTTGATATGACAGATAACAGGAGATTAGTGATCAGACAGTGCTATTGTGCCCGGCCCAGACATCAGGGTCACTGAGCCACCCACTGCGTTCCCCGTCTGAATCCATCTGTGTTGGTCAGTTAGTGGTCCGGTGAGAGAGAGGGGCCTCAGTCAGCAGGCCCTGGGGCGGTGTCTGCCCCCCCCCCCCCCTGCACCTTGCTCCGTTCACACACTGGCCAGCCCAATGAACCAACACTAATGGGATTACAGCCCCACTGTTCCACCGCTCACCACACACAATCTCATTCACTGTAGAGAGAGAGGGGTTACAGTGCCAGCCTCGGACAGCACAGACTGAGAGTTAATGGGACCCTTCACTTTGTACAACATGGGCATTTTCCAGTTTGCTGACCTCATGAGCTGCAGTCTTTGATTTTAGCTGCCGCTGTATTCACTCGGACAGAAATTGAAAGGAAGCTGCTACTTGATATGATGGCATATTGATTCTAAAGATGCAGGCTCGGAGAGTATTTGCAGTTTTGTGCTGACATTTTTAAACCTGACTAGCTGGAAACAAGATGTTAACATAGTTACAGGCATCTTTTTTAAGACTTTTTTTTTTTTGCACCTACAGTTTGTTTCTTCGCTGCACAGTGTTGAGTCAGATGTGCCCACATGTTGTTTTATCATTGCATTACTTTGCCATTACAGTTTATAGACTCAGTAATTGAGCTTCGGGTTGTCTTTTAGAACTTTGAAGTCTAGGACTGTACTTACTAGATGTTACTCCAGCTGGAGGCCTTGAATGCAACTTTAACAGACTTCACAATAAGCTCTTTTCAAAGCAGACCGTCACAGCAGCAAAAAAGCAGGTGAAACCAATGACATTGAACATGGCTGCTTTCCATGTTCGTGCCCTGGTTGGTCATGCCAGCGAGCTGCAGTCGATTGCATAAGAGCAAGGCCCTGGAACATTTATTTGGAGTATAGCCATCCGTAATCTTGATTATAACCTCTGTGCTTTGTAAATATCACAAGCCAACATGCCTGCTGTGAAAACACTACTGGTTTACCTCCACTCTTCACAGCCTGAGAGCAAACTGCAGCCCTCACTGCCCATGACAGCCATTTTGCTTTTAATTAAAAAAACATAAAACATTTCACCAACCAAAACATTAAACGGTTCCATAAAGGTTTACAAAGAAGTTACTGTATTAAGAATCAAATTAAAAGTAGTAGTAGTTTAATGTTTTGTCATTGTCTTTAAAGCTCACTAAAGTTCTTACGGTTACATAACATCACATTTAGCTGATGCTGCTGTCCAAGAGGAAAATCCATGCTTTATTGCAATTAGTGCAATAAATCATAAAGATACACCCACAGAAAAGCAAGACACATGGCCAGGTTTTAAAGACCAAGGTACTAGGTGTGTCACCGCTCGGCTAATACATCATTATTGCACCTGTGCAATCTATTTATAATTGTGTCATATCGAGTGTCGTTTTTTGTTCATTTCAGTAAGCTACGTTAAAAAAAAAACATGAGGATACAAATTCTGAACATCAAGAATATTTCAAGCACATTAACAACCACTTATATTTTAAACGTAGTTCTTCAATTGTACTATATTAGTCTATTCTATTCAAAGGGCATTTATATTTCATGATGGTAGGTTTCATAGTAGATGTGTTGCTCCTCTTTGCTCCTCCTGAGGTTCTTCAATTTGTAACTCTTTAAAGGGTTTTCTTTTAGGATTGTATCCTTATCCACATCGATTATCTAAGGATAGAGGGTCCTTTATGCTTTACATATTGTAAAGACCCTGAAGGCACATTTGTCATATTGAGCTATGTAAACAGAATTGACTTCATCTTAATTCTAAAAATATATATTGGGAATGCATTTCTCACCTTTTACGACCAAAATATTAGCTTTGTGGCTTTTAATGTCCCAGAGTTAAATGTTTTCCTCCTACGTTTCCCTCCCACAGGTGTAATGCCATTCACCGGCCACTAGAGGGCATTAAATTACATTTAATTTAACTTATACAAAGGGACTGCAATAAAACATAAGGGTACATACTCAAAACAATAAGAACAATACAGATATATTTGCTATAAATAAGCAAAGCCATTGAAAGTGCTGGTGCATTGGTCTCAAATAGGTTCAACCCTTTGTTTAATGGCCACATCAAGGGCTAAGAGCGCTTGTAAATCTCTGTCAGGATGAATGTGTACTAAACCACTTTGTTGTGTTGCAGAAATGCTGTAATGAAGAACTGTTGCTCTGATTGGAACGTGCCAGCATTCCAACAGCATCCCCCCTCCCACCCACTCCCCCCCCCCCCCCCCCCCCCCCCCACCCCCCCCTCCATCAGCCATACACGGTGAATCAGCTGAACTGCTCCCATCAAAGACGAGGATGACCTGCACCAGCGAGAGAGAGAGAGAAAGAGAGATGGGGAGAGTAAAGAGAGAGATGGAAAAGACAGTAAGAGAGAGAAGACCGTTCTCTCGCCTCCGAGGACCTTCCTCTGTGTCTCAGTTTCAGTGTGAACCCAGAACGGACAGTCTCCATTTTCTGCACCAACAAACGCCACAAACTTATGATGATAAAAGCCTCTGAAAGTTTAAAAAAAAAGTGTCCATGAGCCGCCTACATGGCCAAAGAGCAGACCCCCCCCCCCCCCCCCCCCCCCCCCCCCCCCCCCTGTTTTCATTTTTGGACGGTTAAACAAAAAAGATAACAGTGATGAAAAGGAGGAAAACAAAGTTAGAACTTCAGTATTTTTCATCTTTTTCAATATCAATATCGTAGACATGGAAGTTGACCTCTTTTTAGTTGTATGATTATAAATATTCAAAAACGAGCATGAAAAAAATGCATCAGTTATTAAGTGTAGATGTTTTGAAGTGAAATCAAGTGGAAAAGTGCGAATTTCTTTTATAGCCATACACCTATTCTCCATGCCTGTCATGTCAGTGATGATAGATCAAGGTCTATAATATGTATTATTATTTTTATTATATATTTTTTTTCTTTGTTCGCCCTGTTGTTCATGGACTTCTCTTCAGCAAATATCTCTCTCTGATGTGACTTAATTTTATACTCCGTCACTGGGATTTCATAGCTCCCATAATATATTCTAATGCCATTTTTTGCATAATAATGCTTCAGAAAAAAATTGGTCTTTTATAGAAGAAATATGGGGAAAAATAAGGATTGATTTCTATGTCTCTTGAAGCTGAAATATATTATACTAAACCAACTCTAATAATGCTTCGTGTTTTTCTGTCAATGATGTTCCAGCTTTTATGGATTATTAAAGTACATTTTAGTACATTTTCATTATATTGGTCAATGTATTTTTGTGAATTAAACTTTTATCCAAAGCAGATTTGACTTATTTGAGAAGTGTAATTAAACGTTTTTTTTTTGCTTTTATTTAAATGTTTGGAAACTTGTACGAAACAAAAATAAGGAACTTGTTGGGAAATGTAAGTTATTTATTATAGAGAAGATATTACTGTACAACTAGCACATTTAAACCGGATCTTTTATCCTTTTTCAGATTCACCTTACTGTAGTGTGGTCTGTAGGTTTGTGTGCATGTAAATGGTCTGCAAAGGGTACATTCCCAAAGTTCCCTCCAGAGGGAGTTTCTCTCCAAGACACTCCCACCCCCCTGCCTGAAACACCCCGATTGGACTCATGTATTTATTTCTGTAACATAATGACATCACTACATAACAAATTTGCTTCTGTTGCCTAGTGCTCCAGCACATTGTACCTGATAGACTTAGTGTCAGGACATCTCTAAGCGGTTGACCAATCAAAACTGAGCCGACCAGCTAACCAATCAGAGCAGACTGGGCTCTGGTTTCAGAAAGAGGGTGAAAAGAGGTGCTGCAGCACAGGCAGTATGAGAAAAATAAAGAGCTTTTTGAACATTAAAGCATGGAGACATGTCACAGTAGAGGCAGACAATACAAATATGAGCCTGCCATCATGTTTTGCCTTACTTGTAAAGACCACTAGGTGTCAGTATAGGTACATAAATGTTTCCCACATCTAAAGCCTGCATCCTATCACTTAGTTATATAATGTGGAATAATGTGACTATCGGGGGGGGGGGGGGGGGGGGGGAAATAGGGCATATTTTTCATGACAATAACGCAAACAAAGCGTGGTTAGTCAAAAGAAGGAAGGATGGTATATATGGCCATCAAACCCTACAGTCTTGCTGGTGCTGTGCACACCGAGCCCCGACCTGGATTATTTATTTTTCCTCACCTGATAAAACAGGATTTACTGTAATCTTCTCCTCCTGGTTATTACAGTTCAAAGTGTAAGGAAAGCAGGTAGGATTTAAAAATCCAGCTACATTCAATGAATATAACATGATATATTTTCTTGAATATTAACTGGGTGAAAAATAGGTACAATTGCACCCCTAAACATCAATGGTGGATTTTATTTTGATTTCAGCGTGAACTGCATGTTTAATCAATAACAAATCAAATCTTGTGTTTATTTACCAAGAATTGCAACTGTGAATATACTTTGAAAAAACTAAAGGCATTATTCCTCCTAAAACTGTATTGGGGTAATAAGACACCTCAGAGGTTTTGTAGCCATGGTATGACCAGAAATCTAGCTTACATTGAAACACAATGCTTTTGCAATAAACATCTTACATTTTTTACCTGGCCACAGAGGCAGCAGCTCATCAAAAGTGATATAGTCTCGCTTTGAGTTGATATTTCTTAATTATTTATCAATAGGTGCCTATACTGCCTATAAGGGCTTGATCTTAAAATATTAGAGAGTATAGGAAGAAGTCTTTAAATATGTTGTCAAGCCAAAGGATTACATCCGTACTGAATCATCTACTGTTATCAAAACTGGTGCCATTTTTAAAAGAAGTGACTATTAGTCGAAGATCAAAATAGATGATTATTTTTTATGTCAAATCGTGGCTTAAAAAATACTGCAATAAATCTGAACAAAGTAATCAAATGCAGCCATAATAAACAGATAGATACCTCAGACGGTAAAATGGTAAATGATATGGTACATACTGTATATTAAAATCCACCCTTCTTTATGTTATATTCTATTAGTACTGTATAACCACTTGTGTCTGAGTTTTATCAGAAGTTTAAACAACCAGCAGCCCATGAGCACAAGTCTTTTAAACTAGATTTTTCTAGAGGAGAAATGAAACTGCTGCATCATCTAAGCTCCTTATGTCTCAGAGGGACGTGTGAAGCAGAGAGGATGCTAAATGTCTGCTGCTGAGGACAGTGGACGGGGATTAGAGCGTGTGACTCACTTCTTCTTCTTGTTTTTTCACTCTTATCACCTACACTGCAGCCTTGATCGGGCCCTTAATCCCTTTAGTGTTTGAGAAGCGGAGTAATACCAAAACACTTTTGCATTTATTATCCTCTCTGTGATATAATGCCTGCTGTCATCCTCCAGACTCCCCCGGTCTGAAGTTTCTTCAGCGTCTCCCCTCGGAAAAGCAGAAGGATGTTTTGGTACCAGGTGGGCTTGAGTCAAATCAAAGCACTCTCTTTCTGAGTCTTAGAAATGTGATCCTCACGAGTATACAGCTACTGGAGCCTGGATAAAACACGGTATAATAAGCTTAATATCTTCATGCGTTTACTCTGTATGACTAAAAGTGATTGGACTCCCCTGTCCTCATTGTGTGCGTTGGTGTGGGGCTGTCATGATTTGGAGAGGCTACTTTGTTTCAATTTTGGAAATCTTAATGCCACAACAAACTATAATATGTGCCTCGAACAGTTTAGGAAACAACTACCTCGACCTGTTTCAACATGACAAAACCCTGTTTTACAAAAACTAACAGCAGAGTTCCTTCCAATTGGACTATGGCGTTGTTGCAGTTTCTACCTTTCGGTTTTATCTTAAAGGTCACCTATTATGCTAAATCCACTTTTTCATGTATTTTATACATAAACATGTGTCCCCTCTGTGTAAAGAGATTCTGAAAGTTTCAGGAAAAAATATTTGCTCACTTTTTGTCCTGATCCATTTATCTGAAAATGAGCTGATCAGATTTTGGCCACTTTATGATGTCATAACGATTTTTTGGCTTGTGTAACCATTAGCCAATCACCAACCAAGGTAACCCCCCCTCCCCCCCACCCCACCTGATCACCTGAATCTCCTCCTAGAGCACCATTGTGTTCTTTTTAAACAAATTTCTCGCAGAGGGGCGTGGGGAGGGGCTCCTTATTTTTCATCTAAAGTAACAGACAGAGAATCAGCACTTTTGAAACAGGGCTGAAACAGAGGGGATTATGGGATGCTGCAATGATCTGTTTGGTATTTGGAGCCAAACACTTCAGAGACATGTTTTGTATATATCTGAGACCTATAATATATTGATGAAAAACAGTATAATAGGGGACCTTCAAAGCTTTTTTATCTGAAGCTGACAGACGTGTCCATAAAGCAATAGCTTATACATCACAGGTTTGCCACATCTTAAAAATTACACTTATCAATGGAAAATACAAAAACAAAGAAGTCACCAAACTAAATATTGGGACGTACTCTTCTTAAAGAAGACTTTACCATCAATAGATATAACTATTGCGGCCATTTTCCTTTGATGTAGAAAAAAATGGGTAATAGTGTGTTAAAAGCACTAAGATTAAGCAGACCTGTGACATCACCAGCTTAATTGATGCAGTTGAACATTAGCTTGTCACGGAAAGCTTCTCTTTCCATCTATCTGCTCTTGATAAGGGTTTTATAGCTAAAGACTTTAAACTGCAACAATTCCTCTGTCTCCTATAGAGTAACTTGGATACAGTTGTTTTCTTTTTCTGTTTGACTTCTGTTGGATTGTCCTCCACGTCATCAAACATCTTTGGGAAGAACCTGAGGGTCCTACCTTACTCAAGCTGCTGTTCCTGTTCTGCAGTGCAGTCCAATAATCCTGTGGAAAGACTTCCCAGTAGAGAGGAGGCTGTTATAGCTGCCTATGCATGTGGAGTGAGAACTTTAACAATCACATATGAAATATCTTGAAAACTATTTGACAAGTTGCCATGATGTTCATGTTCACCAGAGGATGATCTGAAGACTTTGATGGTTTTCTTCTGATTTTGTGGGACATTTCTCAACATCTTAAGATAAGACAAGATAAGATAAGATAAGAGGTACTTTATTGATCCCAAATTGGGAAATGTTTGCTTTGCAGCAGCATAAAAACAACACAGCAAAACAAGGCATTGCACATAAGTAGAAGAGTAGAAATAAACAATACTAGAATTTAAACGTCTCAAAATAGAATTAAAACAGCATTAAAAAGTAGAAAATAAAC